CTTCCGATGGCTGAAAGGGAACATTCAACAAGCAGCTGAAAAACAATCCGGAGAGAGGAACTTCTGATTCGAAGCAACAAAACCCTAAGCTCTATCTGAGATCTTTCCACATATACCCCTCTTCTCTCTCTGCGAATTTGTCAACTGGGTATGAAAAAGCTGTAGGGTCACGTCAAGTGCGCAGATCCTTTTCATCTCCAAACTTAAAAATGGAAGTTTCTGGTTTTGAATTTCAAATTTTGTGAAACCAATTAATGCTAGGTAATAAGGGTTAATGTCCATTAAAGAAACCAATTAATTAGGAAAGAGGAGAGTAAATGACAAAGATACAGTTGAGCTACTTTTGCAAAAACAGGGGAGAATCTGAAGCACTACTTCCAATCCACACGGGCACTTCAAAGTTTACGACTTTTTCTCAGTATCCCCAGAAATTGAAAAAAAAAGGGAAGAAAATCCAAATCTGAAGCATAATCACATGCACTAGCGCATGTTAAACAACTCAGGATCTCTTGTCTCTTTCTGGTCAGAGCTTTGTGAACTGGAGCCTGATTCCTTTGTTTCTTTTTCCTTTTATTTATTTGATAATATTAAATGCTTTTGAAGGAAATAACAATGACATATTGGTTATGGTGTGATTATTCTCTCGTGTTTTGTCATATAAATCCTCAAGTTGTTTTGTACTACAGTCCAACGTTCAAACAAAAAATATTCCTGATTTTACTTTTAATTTGATAAGGAAAAAAAGGATGGTCCTTGTTTTGCGTGTGTGACACCACTGGAATACACATCTCTCCTCAATTCATCTCCATTCAATTTTTAACATGAACTCGTCAAAATTATTCCCGGCCGAATGCTTCGCTATCTTCTGCTTCTTTGCACCATGCGGCCCATACAGACCTTATACAATACAATTTAAAAATGTTATGACATTTATATACATGTATATGCATTCTCATAGAAAAGTAGCATCATGGCTCTGATATCAATTGATACAATTTGGGCCCTAACTCCACCACAAAAACTAGCTTAAGAGTGGAGGTTTGGCCCTCCTTATATATTGGCCCCAAATCCCTCTTTTTTTCCAATGTGGGACACTTATCAACACGAATTACCTCAGCCCTGCAATATTCAGGCATAAAGACAACTATGGCTTAAGAAGATTTAAGTCAACAAATCCAAAAGGGTAAAACTGTAGAAGTCGAAAAGCCGAAAAGGAATATCTCACGATATGACAGTTCCAAAACGTGAAAAAATGGTGTGGAGATCCTCATCCTGCATCAAGAGAGAGAGAGAGAGATAATCAGAAATATAACCAAATACAAGAAACTATCACTTTTAATTCCATTTCTCAGACTCTAAATAATTTCGAGATGAAAACTATCATAGGAAACCATTTTCGAGGTCCATATAAAAACACCATATCATAAATAACCATTGAAGGCCGTAAACTATACTTTCTGTCCAATAAAAAATTCATGGGGTTAGCGATATGTTCTTGAGCGTTCATATCTGATATTTTCTTTTCCCCAATTTCAGTTTTTAGGGATTTTTTTTCTGGACGTTAATAACAGCTCTAAACTAATATCAAGGGCCTACCTCGGTCACAGGATTCAGTTTACAGACGAAAAGCACGTTATCAGGAGGCTTTATCTCAGCTGCTGGAATATCCCCGATCTGCATCGATAGTGGAATTGCAAGAGAGTTTTAACTTGCTAAGAAAATTTGATATATTGAAAAATAGCTGAACCCATGATACTTACAGTTTCAAGTACAACAGCACTAGAATGTGCAGCTTTCTCACGAAGAACCTCCTCAAGCTCCTGAGGACCTAGTTGTTCGTCCATTGGAACCCAATCATCTTCAAGCCGTACATCATCCTCAACCTATCAAAACAGAAAGAAGAAAACTTTAGCCATTGATTATCCATGACTCTTTTCAGTTAACAGATTAAACCGGTGGAAGTATTTATTAGTAGCCACCTCTTCCTTTGGTTTTCCTTCAGGAGAAGCATCAGGTATCAACTCAGCAAGTTGCGGGGGATCATCAAAAGGGTCTTCCAGTATATAAGTGTGTTTAATTCTTCAAAGTACCAACCATAAAGATTACCAACAGAAAAAAAAATATTAGCTATAATGAAATACAAAAGATGGACAAGCATCACATTGCCACATCCGTAGAAAAGAGTACCTAACATTTTTATATGGTTTGTTTTTCGTATCGACAAAAGCTTCATTTATCCTAGTCAAAGTGTCGAACCCCTCAGCAACTTCACCAAAAACCTGAAAACGCAGTATGTTCATACAAAACCTAGTATTAACTGTCAAGACTGAGTTGGCTACTTACAGTGTGCTTTCCATCAAGATAGTCCAGATCATCACGTAGTGTGATATAGAACTGAAAAGGAGAAATAAAAGTTATAATGAGAATATGCTAACTTGAGAGAGATCATCTACAAGCACAACGGAAGCTAATTATTGGCAGTGAACCTCGTGATGATGTAAGTTCCACATGAGAATTCACATGGAAAATATGTTCTTCATATATTGTGGTAAGAAGACTTCATATACCTGGGAAGCATTGAGATTCTCTCCAGCACTGGCCATAGCAACTGTACCAGTCTTTGAATGTTTTAAATCGAGATGAATCTCATCACCAAAAAAACGAGCCTGCTCACCATACAAAAATCTGGAAAAGGGACAGGCCGAGAAAGGGGCATGTGATAAGGTAAGAATGTCTATTAGCTTAACTAAAGGATGGTAAATAGCACAGTAACCATGCAGAAACAGAAACTGAAGCTGGCGTTGAAAGCAAAAATATAGTGAACAACACTCACTCTACATATACCATCTTAAGGTATAATGCTATTGTCTTACTTGTAAACTGAGTCTCCACCAGCTCCCGTTCCAGTTGGATCACCCGTCTATGCAGTTCTCGTAAAAGAACCGGCCAATGCTCTTCTGATCTTTCTTCACGAACAAGTTATCCTCGTCACTCTCCGAGTGAATCTTCACATCAAGAAGGGATTCGGCACGGCGTTCTTCAGAAGAAGAGGAATCGACAGGTTTGGGTAAGCGACGGAGACGAGGAAGAGGGATTGCATCAAGTATACCAGCCAAGTGACATTTGAGACGGGTAAAACCACTCATTTCTTTTCCACAGTAATTGCATCCCACCCTACCTTTCTTCTTGTCCACAGAAACACCATGGTCACGGATGTTCATTGAGGCCCCACCCGAACCCATTGGTTCAGGACATCCACTGCAATATAGAATGCATCAAAGTTTCCAACTTTCTTTAGGTAAACCCCGGTCGTTTTCAGAAGTCAAACATTTTTTTTTCCTCGCAATCACATAACGCGTGAAACAACCAAAATGGGAAGAGACGTCTACAAAAAATTTCCCAAATAATCGAATTCGTACACAACGAGGCAGAAAAAAAAAAGAGTTCTTGAAACTCTACGAGGACAAAATCCGCAGACAAAGGAAACGAAACCAAGCACGAAACTTTTGGTAACGGAGACGAGAAAGACAAAAGAAAGTCGCTTGGGTCATGCGAATTGACATGGTTTTTGGCTTCAAAACAGAGAAAATTCTGAAAAAGGAAAGGCAATACCTCTATAACGCGTAGGAGACAAACGGGAGAGAAGAGAGGACCTACACAAACGGGAGAGAAGAAATCCCAGCTTTACAGGCTAAACCCTCGCTTCTGTTCGTATTCTCTCAGACAAAGACGGCTGTGTGAGAGAGAGTCCGTATATGATTGTGTACACAGAGGTCCACCCCTGCTACTGTAGTCTCACTCGACCATCTCATTTACTGTTAATTTCCTTGAATTATAAATTAAAAATTTTGTTCATTTGTAATAGAAACTCGTCATTTTTTTCCTCCTTTTTTTGCCTATAAATGAAAAAAATACAATATTTTAACATATTATTACTATATTCCAAGAGTAACTCCTGCTCCGTCCCTATGAGGTTAATTTATCAATCTATAATTGATAGGTTACGTGTCATCATTACAATCCACCGAAAAAGAGAGAGAAAAATCCGCATGAACAAAAGCCTTCTCATCATCAGTTCTTTGCGTGTTCTTGAAGAAACAAATAATAGTCTCAGCAAGAAGGATCCAACTTCACTTGATATTTCATTGGATCCTCCTCAGCGTCTTGGATCTCCGAAGATGCAAATTGTAATGAACAAAAGCAAAGTGGTGGAGAGGAGGGCTCTTCCCTCCAGAAGCGAGCACCTTCTCGGCTACACTCCTCTTGAGCCTGAATCTCGAAGCACCTTCACACGTCTGACTCAGAATTTTAACCGCAAAACTTTGCAACTCTGGGTGTTGATCCGCGTACCTACCCCACCATTCAGCTGCAGACATTTAGAGTTTTGTTTCTTGATCAGACATGAAAACGCAAGACAACCACTTGTCCTGGAACCAGGGGAAAAGAAGACCCTTTCCATGTTATATATATATAGCTTTGGCAGATGGGTATCCTGTCCAAAAAAGTGGTACATACCTGGAGTGATTCCAGAGATTTTGTCAATGCGACTAGCTTCAAAGAAGTAATCCTTTCCGAGTCTGTACACATCAAGTTGTCCTAAAATTTTGATCTTGATACCCTCTTCTTTTACCATATAGACGAGAGATGCGAGCAGACCCGCGGTAACTTCTGGATCAAGATGGAAGTCTGTTGCGTAAAAAGCAAAAGGGTTTAGATAGTAACCAGCACCATGAAGAGGGGTATAGATACGAGTGTTCCAGACTTCATCTATTATATCCCAGAAAGGTTTGCAACTGAGTTTCTTGTGACTAAGCCCCTTCTCCATACTCTCTTTGATTCTATCCATTGTATCATAGATAAGCCCGACCTGTGGCTCTTCAGCTTTGGCAAACAAGAAAAGGCCATCGACGACAGGAATCGTACATTCCTGAACTGTCTCAGCAGCGTTCCAAAAACAAGAGTCCTCCACCAATCTGGCAACTGTTAATCCCTCTTCTTTATTAGCCCAGATCATGCTCTTCCAATCAGATGAAACAAACATGGTAGTCAAGTTCTTCTTTGTTGTTAAAATTCTCTCCAACGCCAGATAAGGCATAACCACATCATCATTCTTGGACAAGACAATCAGTTCTTTTCCGCAACTATGATCTCTGAAAAGCTTCAAGATCGAGGGATCGCTGTGAATGAACTTCGAGATGTTCTTTACCTTATCAAGCACATTGGTAACAACCTCCAATTTCCCAATCTCCTTCAGCATGAGCTCGAAGCAACCAGATACACTCACCGACCAAAAAATCCCCCGGCTACACCCTGCAAACCACTCGCCCAATTCACCTACCCAACCAGTTACCGAACAACTGATAATTTGAATGACGTTTTCCGCTCCAACCTTCTTAACAACCTCATCTATCAGTAACGTTAAGGCAACCATATCGCATTTTATATTAGAAACATCATAGGATTCCAGATACACTGGACCCTCGGGGCAATCTGCAATAAAAGTAACTAGTTCACGACCATTCATATCAACCCAAGTATCCAACAGAAGACTGCATCCTGTAATGGTCCATGAATCTTTTATCCTCTTCACATATTCCTCTGCTTCCTTCCACTCCTCTTGAAAGATCCACCCATTCATATCTTGAAAACTAGGGATCTTATACCTTAGCTGATCAGCATCACCCCTACAACTCACTACACCTAGCATTTGTCTGAAACTTGGGGAATTCACAGCTGAAAGATCAATTCCATTTTCAAGGAAAAACCGACCGATACACTTCTGAGCTTTCTTCGACAACAAGTCATGCGAGCCTCCCTCTCCACCATGGTCACGCATGTTCACCGATGTTCTACCAGAAGCCATTCAGATTTCCAACCCTAGTTTAGAGGATACGCTGCTTAAAAAAAAAACATCACAAATTACAAGCTTTTCTTCTTTTCCCCCTCTAAAAACTAATAAGAAAAATACAGTGGCCCATGATATCTCTTCCTCAAGAACAGATTTTTTTCCCTTTTCCCTAATGTCCCTCCTTTACACACTTCAGCGGCAAAATTTCAAGTGGCGAAATTGGGCTTGGAATACCGAATTCAAAGTTTTAGAGAAAAAAGGTTAGAACTTTGAAGTAGAGAGGCAAAAGATGATCGGAACTTGAAAAGACACTCTTTTTCTCCAACAAAAACACAGAAGCAGGAAGAAAAAGGGGAACCGAGGCGCAAAAATGGACCTTTATCGACTTCAATGGCTGAAAGAAAGAGAACCAACCACAACCAGTAGAGTCAGTTGAAAACCCTCAGAGAGAACAGACCTTTTGATTCTTTCGAAATCGACGCGAATGATCAACTGGGTTCTTGAGCATAAATTTGCGACCTTTTTTGATCTCCAAACCTAAAAGTGGAGGTTTTTGGTCTTTTTGTTCAAATGTTGGGAGGGACCGACTAACGCAAACTAATTAAGGTTATATCGTAATTAATAATAAAATAAATTGTTTAGCAAGACAGGAGTTCAATCCACACGGACACTTGGATCTCTTCCCTTTGGTCATATCGGAAAGGAAAGAGAGGAAAAAGCCGAAATCAGAGGTTGAAGCTTTATAACAAAACTGCCATCTTACTTTCATGGGTTTTGTTATTTGATAAAATTAAATGCGGCATTTCCGGGTTTTCAGAATTTGAAACCGAAATACCAGAACATGAGAAATGAAACAGGAGTTGAACTGACTGGTAACCCCATGAAAGAACACAAAAACCTCAGAGACTTGATGTTCAACCTTGGCTGCCTGATGCAGCATCGATCTCCATAGGAACTCCCGCATCTGCTCCCCCTTTGCAATATTTCTGCAGTTGCAGATTGTAATGAACAAATGCAAAGTCTTTCAGATATCGCCTCACGATTGGGCTCCTCTCTTCCTTTAGCATCTTCTCCGCCGCACTTCTCTTTAGCTTGTATCTTGACGCGCCATCGCACTTCTGGCTCAGAAGCTTAACGGCTACCCTTTGTAATTCCGGGTGCTTATTCCCCTTACGAGCCCACCATTCAGCTGCATACAGTCGATAAGATAAATACAAACCTTCTGTTAGATATCTGTTAATGGTTTATGGTATCATCAGAAGGTTGATCCGGATTCATACCTGGATCAGTTTCAGACATCTCATCTATGTGGGTAGCCTTGAGAAAGGGATCTTTACCGAGTCTATAAGTCTCAATCTGCTGCATAACTATACCTCGAACAGTTTGGCCCTTTACCAAATGGACCAAGGATGACACCAGACCTGTGGCCACTTCTCCATTGACACGGAAGTTCGATGAGCACAAGGCACACGGGTTCAGGTAGTAACCGGCAGCGTGCAGAGGACTGTGAAGGTGAGCTTCCCTCACTTCATCCACCACTGACCAATACGGACAAACTTCCTTCACCATTGTATCTTTTATATTGTATATTTGCTCATAGATGTGTCCCATATGCGGCTTTTCTTCCTTAAGGAACGAGTCGAAGAAGCGGATGAGAGGATACGTGCATTTGAGAACTATCTCCGCGGTTTTCCAGAAAGAAGGGTCACCCACCAATCTGGCCACTTCTATCCCATCTTCTCTCGAGGCCGAGATCGTGTTCTTCCAAATAGACGAAGCGAATATGGCTTTCAAGTCCTCCTTGGCCGACAAAACGCTCTCTAGGGTCAGATAAGGCATAGCAGAATCGTTCTTGGATGAGACAGTGAAGTCTTTTCCACGACATTGAACTTTGAAAAGCTTCGAGATGGAAGGATCATCAAGAATGAGGTTGGAAATGTTCTTGACATCCTTAAGAACGTCTTTAACAACTTCCATTTCACCAATCTTGTCAAGCATAAGCTCCAAGCAGTGAGACACACTCACAGACCAGAGGATCTCCTTGTGATTCTCTACAATCCACTTTCCTAGATTGCCTACCCAGCCCGATACAGAATTACCGATAACCTGAACGACATTACGAGCTCCAACTTCCTCAATGATCTCATCTATCATTAACACTAGGGCTATTATATCATTCTTGATACCGGAAACGTCTTGGGATTTCAGGTAGACCGGACCCTTTGGGCAATCAGCGATGAACATAACGAGGTCACGCCCATTGGCGTCAACCCAAGCGTCCATCAGAATACTGCAACCTGTGATCTCCCAGGAACCTTTGATGCTCTTAATGTATTCATGTGTTTCATTCACCTCTTCCTGAAGGATCCAACCTTTGAGGTCTTTAGAACTCGGAATATGACAACCCAAATAACCGAACAATTCTCTGAAACTCTTGGAATCAGCGGCTGAGAAATCAATGCAGTTCTCGTAAAAGAACCGGCCAATGCTCTTCTGATCTTTCTTCACGAACAAGTTATCCTCGTCACTCTCCGAGTGAATCTTCACATCAAGAAGGGATTCGGCACGGCGTTCTTCAGAAGAAGAGGAATCGACAGGTTTGGGTAAGCGACGGAGACGAGGAAGAGGGATTGCATCAAGCATAAGACGGCGAAAGGGCTGTCGGATAGCATCAGGGACTTGTAGGCAAGGAGCTACGTCTTTTGGAACACCTCCCAAGTGACGCTTGAGACGCGTCACTCCACCAACTTCTTTGCCACAGTAATTGCATCTCACCCTATTCTTCTTCTTGTCCACACAAACACCATGGTCATGGATGTTCATCGAGGTTCCACCCGAAGCCATCCACCAGATTCAGATTCACTGCAGACAAACAAGAAGAAGAAGAAGAAGAAGAAGAAGAAGTCAAAAAAGCTTTTTCTTTTTTATTCTCTTGTGGATTGTCATAGATCAAACCCAACCCAATTTCTGCACCACCCACTTAAGAATCGAACACCTTTTGTTTCACAACCCCCAAATGTATGGAAAAAAGAGATGAAAATGGGCAGAGAATTCTCCGATCCGTCCCCAAAGCCATCGAATACATGCATTTTCAGTCGGGGGAAAAAAACGAGTTCGTCAACTTTTTTCGTAGCGGGAAAAAACCGAGTTGGTGAGGTTTCGAGCTCCACGATGACAAAACATAACCCGATCACATAAGTAAAACACCGGAGATCAAGCACGAGACTTTTGCTAACGAAGGCCACAGAGACGAACGAAAATTCAGGTGGGTTTGCTTCTCATGCGTCGATCATACAGATTCACAATAGTTTTCACGTATTCCAAACAGAGAGAGAGAGAGAGAGAATACCTTTGATACACAGCCTCAGAAGAACGGGAGAACGACTAAGAGAGAGAGAGAGAGAGATGCGTGTATAGGTAGTACATATATATATAATGTATGTCAACGTGTACGCATCTGTACTTGCAGTTAGATCACACTTAGGCATGGCTTCTGGTCTCTCTCCTAACATTGCGGTGTCTGCTTTGTTTTTAGCTGTACATTTCTCTATTCGGACGTCCAAATTCACACCCAAAAAACGTCATCTGAATTTTATTACATCCAGAGAAACAAGGGAACGGATTTTAACAGAAGAAACTGCATTTCCATTTTTGGTTGCTTGTTGCCATTTCTTTTCAATCTCTAGCTTCTGTTCTTGTCCTCTCTTTCGGTGTTTTCTTCTTCTGCAAGGAACCTGAGACGTGATCGAACATTGGGTTTCTCTTTCGATCTGCTGCAAGAGTGTTTTTTTTTCCTTCCTCTTTTTGGCTTGCAGCATTAGATATCTTTGGACCTTTTTTGGATTCTATTATTTATGTTTGTATTATTTCCGCGGAAATATTTTGGCGCGGTAATATATCGTTAGACCGTTAACGCAGAGATATTTAGTTGAATATCTAAAACTTCGGATATCCAATTTTCGAGCAAGATAACTTTTGGCCACCCCTGCGTTACGCATCTGTTTAATGAAATACAAACAAAACATTCAACACTCCGACGGAAGAGTTCAATGGAACAATGTCTTTAAGTTGCGTGATTATCCAATCCCGCCAAGAACAACAAATATTGAGCTCACTAGGTTTCTACTTAGTTAAAAAAAGTACACAGCAGAACTGATATTATACATAACATATGCTACAGGAGAAAATGAAATGGCGCTTAGGTTATCTATGTTCAGATTGGGATTTGTTCTGGACGAGTCTCGGGGAGACCTCGACCTCTGAAGCCTTGTCATTGTCGGGTTTCGAGTTGCATGGCGTCTGAGAAGAAGAAATCAGAGTGGCTGCTTTCTGCTGTTCTTCCAAGATCTTCTGCAAGTACCTTGCGTGCTCTTTCTATCCGTCGGTGGAGAGCTCTTTGAACCTGCCCTTTTTTTTTTCATACAGATTTACATTTGCATAATCAATCATGCATTGTTTTATCAGTTTGATGGGTGATATTGGTTTTACCTCGAGCTGTTCGTGCAATTGCTTCTGAACTTCCATCGGCATACGCAGAGCTTCTGTTATCTGCATGACCCTGAAAATGAGATGACAGAAGGACGTCCAGCATATGATCATCAGCAAATAAATTCAACAGATTAAACGTTGAATCGCATAGGATAAAAAAAAAGGGAATGAATGAGAGCATAAAATATACAAATCTTGATAGCATGTGGTAACAAATCCAAAACATTAAAAAGGATCCATGTGTGTGTATATATAAAGCACAACACCACGAGAGACAAATGGAATTGGAGAAAACAAGCCACCACTCACCCTTTCTTTCGCCCATCTGTTTCGCTGTTACTTGAAGAATGTTTCTTCTCTTCCGAGGTACCAATCTTCTTCTCTGCTGAAGAGTAATGAAGAAACAAGAAACAGTCAAAACAATATGACTTCAGTATACATATATGTCTGAAAAAACTCAACATTGAATGAAAACTATGGCTGTCGTGAATGAGCAGAAAATCAACCCACTTGGCAAGAAAAGTTTGTGTCTTTACCTTCGTTTTTCTCTGGCAATGGCATATACTTCGCCAGTCTGTACTTCTGTCAATGCGATGAACAAATACTTAGATGCTTCAGAGGAATTCATCTAAATCGTGCACATCTACTTCAAAAATCTTCTGCTTCAACTACTATGATACCTGCAAGTGGCTTTTCACGTGATAGATAGTCAAGCCTTCCACGTTCATGAGCTTCAGAACAGCCTTTGGAGTTGCCTCTACATATTTTTTCAAGCAAAACAGAACAAATCTCTCACCATGAGAAGACAGATGCAACAATGGAGTTGAGTCTATAATCCTTAAAGGGATTTCAACGTAAAATAGTATCTCTTCTGTGAGAAATGAGGTATAGAAGAACCATGTACCGCAACCCTGAATATCATTCATAACCTCGGCTCTAATATACCGGGGGATGGTCATGGCCGGATACATGCATCAATTACATATTTTTTTCTCAGTTTGAGATTGTTGCTTATATAGTAGTAGTATGGCATAGAACATTAACGTTGTCTCATACGACTAACTCACTTTCAGGCCCTTCGAGCTTGTGAACAGACTCCACAAAACGCTCATGGAGCTCAGGAGTCCATCTCATTCTCGGTTTATGATTAGGGACAGAACCTGGAGAAGGATGAGACAAAACTGCATCCACAGACATAACAGCAGGGACACAGTCTTGGCTGCGACTCATTTCAATCCCTGGATTTGACAAAGCCAGAGGAGTTTTATAGATCTCCTGCATAAACCATTGGGATCATTTACCAAAAGCTCGTCCAGAAAAATATGGGATGTACAAACTATGTAAGGGTAGAAAAGACTGAACCTAACTTACATCAAGCCTAGGAGTCTCAGCAAGTTCATCAGACAGGAACTGCAGCTCCATTTGTTCCGATAACAAGAAGCTGTCATTTGGACAGCCAAGTTCATGAAATTCATCATCATCTTGGGGAAGATTAAAGAAGTCTTTGACAAGAGTCCCTTCACTGTCCCCATCCCCATCGTACGGAGCGCCCAAATCCTCACTGAAAACTGCTGGAGATTTTGCAGACTCAAAAGCTGAAGCAGTCTGGCTGTAAGTCAAAGGGTTTGGGAGAAACGGAAGACTGTTCCCGAGCTGTCTCTGAGTTTCGGAGCTCGAAGAAGATGATAGGTACAAGTTTGTGCAGAATGAGGAAGATCTTGAGAATGCACTCTTAGAACTATGCTTTGTCCGTGGATGACTTGGGGAATCTGGAGATCGTGATCTTATGAATGGAGAAGGAGATTTTCGGGTTTCTGGCTGAACGTTCAGAAAGCTATGCACCGGAGATACTGAAGACAAGCAAGCTTGTCTAACTCCTTTGGTGCATTCCTCTGGTGTTGTGGACACGAGGCTATGGCTATTCGTAGTTTGAGGAAGAATAGACCAGATCGATATCAAGTCAGACTATGATGTGCTAGGCACAACATTCGCCATATTTTTCAGACAAGCCTGAGTTACATTTTGGTAAAATACCAGAGATGAAAGTTTCTAAAGTCACTGGCTTTGAAGAAAACGCATGGTCACAACTTCTCCACGTAAAAGACCTGGTGAGAAGAGAGCGCCAACAAAAGGTAGACCAAGAGATTCCAAGGATCGAAGAACCATTTCAAGACCCATTAAACCAAACAGCCAAACACTTTCAAGACCACTGATCGATTGAGAACAACAATGGCCAGAGATATGCATTGATCCCATTTGATCTGACTTCTTATTCATATTGACCTGGGCGTATGACTAAATCGGTAATGGTTAAGTCAAGAACACAGACGTGGTGTGTGCGTAGCACCATCTAATTCTTTTTTTTTTTTTGCTCTGAATTAGCCAAGCTGATCAAAGTTCGTACATCTAAACAAATTACTTGTGTTACTCAGGCACTAAATTTGCAGACACAGCATCACTCTTCCAAATCAACTGGAATTTCAGATCCGAGAATCATATTCACTAGATTCCAGTCCATACGAGGAAATGAGAGCAGTTATTGGATTGCAATCAAAACTTCCCCGTCATTTTTCCATTAGAAGAAAGAGCTACATGAGGGCATGAAACAGCAAACTTGCAAAGAAGAGCAAATTATGTCCGAAAAACAATATTATCAGACACGAACACCGAGAAAGTGATAATCCAAATCCAAATGGAGTACGAAAAACCCATTACTATAAGAAAACTAAAAGAATTCTAAAAATTACAAATCAATTAGAAAACCAAAAGCAGAGGTTAAAGGAATCCAGAACGTCTCGAAAACAGATATATATATATATATATAAACAGATAATTCTTACCGCGTACGAGCAACTCCTCTTCTAGTGTTAATATCGAAAATTTCCGAAATGTGACGGGAGAAGCAAAGAGCGAAACTTTTCTCGGAATTATCCGGGAAAGTCGTAAACTTTCCAGGAAAGATGATGAAAATGGGAGAGAAGAAGAGGGTTTTAAATATTCCGAAAGACAGAGAATGAAGAGAAGTTAAAATTTCGGATAAAAGAGAACAAGAGACGAACTTTACGTATCAGTGAGGGGAGAAGAAGAAGAGAGAAAGAAATGTTGTGTTGGCTGCGGAGTGGACGCGAATCGCAGCAGAGGAGAACACTATAATGATTGATTGGTCTCCGCTTCAGGAGGAGCCTCCTTCTCACACACGCGCTTCGAGGGCTCGTGCACATCACGCTCCATCTTAATCCGTGTGTTCACATCATGATTCATGATCTAGTTAAAAATAAACAAATAATTCAATCGAGAAGACAAAAAAATGAGTTTTTCAATCAGGGAATGAGGGTTTTTATTTATTAGAATATCAAACAATCGCAATCCCATTTAAACTTGGTTGCATTGCTATTATATTATATTGTATGTTTATGCTTTCTCTATAATTATATGTTTAATGCATTTGAACAAAAACCTTACTCTGACATGTTATTTTAGTGGAAAAGAAATATTTCATTTCTGTTTGAGGTTGTTGTATAAAAGCCCAATTGTATAAATATGTTTGGGCCGAGGCCCAATAAGGAAAGTCCAGCGAGGAGGAGTCACCAAAGAAGCATGAAGGAGCGTAGAAAGCGTCAAGCCTCAGGCGACGACCAAAGGTGGCAATGTATTTTTTTTTTTACCCAAAAAAAAAACAAGAGAGAGTATATTTTCAACACGTTTGATCTGACCAATGAGACGCCTCTGTTCCTTCCAGTGTCGTCGAAGTAATATCTGATCGATTTGATTCCTTATTTCTGTTGCTTTGACTTTGTGAAACCTGTGACGATTACTACTTGTGATCTCCCGACGACGAGGGGGAGCTAAATCCGTCATTTCCATTCAGATCGTTCCTCCAGGTTCGTTGCTTTCCGCCATTTCTTCTTTTCCTCCAATTTTCTTCATCTTTTTATCGGTACCCAGACTTTTCCATCGCTCATCATGATCTGGGTTCATTGTCAAATTTGCAAACTTTTTTCTAATCAACGCCCAGAATTTCGAAAACCTCGTTGGGATGATAATATTTTAAACGTACGTCGCTGAATTTGATCGAGCATTGAGATCTGAGGATGCTTCTTGACGAAAAAGTTTGTTTTTTTTCCTGCAGGTTTCGAGATGGGTCAGGAAAGCCCTAGTTTCACAGTGGATGAAGCTCTCGTGGCGATGGGATTTGGGAGATTCCAATTTCTCGTGCTGGCTTATGCTGGAATGGGATGGGTTTCGGAGGCTATGGAGATGATGCTCCTCTCGTTCGTAGGACCCGCTGTTCAGTCGCTCTGGAATCTCTCTTCGCATGAGGAGAGCTTCATTACCAGCGTCGTTTTCTTCGGTATGCTGATCGGAGCTTACTCTTGGGGCATAGTTTCAGACAAACATGGTCGGAGGTAATCATTGTTATCTATGATCTCTAGAGTTGGAAAGCGCGACACTTGTTTGGATGATTTCAGATATTCTGGTTTTCGCCGACCAGGTACTTTGTCAATTTTTAAATGGCCTGATAATCATTTGGGTCCTTGCTGCCTCTTAAATGTTATCTGAAGTTCAAAACGGGTTTGGTCGGTTTTGATATGTTCAGTTTATGATTCTATGTTCATTTGCTTCCTTTGATACCTTTGGGAATTCATCTGAAGTCTTAGCTACAGTTTGAATGTGTATAGATTGTTCAGTTTATGCCACTTTGTTCCCTTACTGTCCGCAAGAGATCTTGTGAACGTTCTCTGTAGTTACCAAGACTATTTCCCTCACAATCACAGATTTATCTCTTTGGGGCGCTTCGTTCATTTGAGTTTTTTTTTTTTGTTTCTCGTCTTCTTCAGGAAAGGGTTTCTGATAACAGCAGTGGTGACTTTTATAGCTGGTTTCTTGAGCGCATTGGCCCCAAACTATACTTGTCTGATAGTTCTTCGATGCTTTGTGGGTCTTGGATTGGGAGGAGGCCCTGTTCTTGCGTCCTGGTTTCTCGAGTTCATCCCTGCTCCAAATCGAGGGACTTGGATGGTTATTTTCTCAGCTTTCTGGACGGTTGGAACCATATTTGAGGCGTCTCTTGCTTGGGTATGTACCTCGTTTATCTCTTATTTCCTATTTGCTACAACTAAAAGGAGATAAATCCACCAACGAACTTCATCAGAATTCTCTCATATCCGAGCGCTTTTCACGTCTTCATGATTCAATCTTTTGCAGTTTGTCATGCCAAGTTTGGGTTGGAGGTGGTTACTTGCACTCTCTTGTGTTCCTTCATCGTTGCTTCTTATATTCTATAGGTTGACGCTTGAGTCACCTCGGTATCTGTGCCTACAAGGCCGGAAAACTGAAGCCCTTGCCATTCTCGAGACAATAGCCAGAATCAACGGAACTGAACTACCGCCTGGTGTCCTTGTCACAGAGGACGAGACTGAGCTGCAAGAGAAGAAGAGCGTTCCAACCGAAAACACTCATCTCCTCATGCCTGCAGAAGATGGAGATGTGGCCATTTCCAAGAGAGTGGGTGTTGAAAAGGGACCCATTTCATCCATCTCAAGTCTTCTATCTCCAGAGTTAATCAAGCCGACTTTGCTTCTATGGGTGGTATTCTTTGGAAACGCTTTTGCATACTACGGTATTGTGTTGCTCACCACCGAGTTGAACAATGGAAACAACAAATGCTTTCCAACCGAACAATTCCTGACAAATTCCGAAGATGTTAGCTACAAGCACGTTTTCATTGCCAGTTTTGCAGGTAATGTGACAGGGTGGCTGTAGGTTTTCCCAATACACCAGGAGAAAACTTTATTCGAATAATCCGAGATGCTGATCTCTGTTCTCTCTTTTTTTTTAAAAAAAAAAATATGTGGGCAGAGTTTCCAGGGCTTCTGGTGGCTGCTGCAATGGTGGATAGAGTAGGAAGGAGGCTTTCGATGTCGTCGATGTTTTTCTTGTGTTGCCTCTTCCTTCTTCCGCTCATATCTCATCAGCCTTTAGGTTTAACGACAGCCCTTCTCTTTGGTGCTCGAGTGTGCATAACGGCTACATTCACCATCATCTACATCTATGCTCCAGAGGTAATATGCTGGGCCATCCAATTGGTCTTCCAGTTCCTTGGTTGCGAATAAAGTTTCTGACTTTGGGGGATTTTCAGATATACCCGACATCGGTGAGAACGACAGGAGTAGGAGTAGGGAGCTCGGTGGGGAGGATAGGAGGAATGGTGTGTCCACTGGTGGCCGTAGGATTGGTTCATGGATGCCACCAGACGGCCTCAATCTTTCTGTTCCTGTGCATTATTCTCCTCTCTGGTATCTGCGTTTGTTTCTTCCCCTTGGAGACCAGTGGTCGAAATTTGTCCGACACCGTCCCTTCTGAGAAACCTGATTCATCATCATCATCATCATCATCATCCGTATAGATTTTGGACCTGGGATTCATTCTTTGTTTTAGTTTAGATTAAACGTTGAAACCCGAGATTGTTTTTGGGTGGTTGTAGAGATTGTTTGAATCAGTTAAAAGATTATGGATCGTATTTACTTGTTATTGAACTCAGATTTCTTGAATTGCTGGTTGAAACTCTGGTTGGTGGAAGATGTAATGAAGAAGACAAGGCAGTGACCTCTTTGCAGGCAGTTTAATCAGAAGCTCTTGTTTTTTCTTTCTGTATTTCTTTTAAGATTTTGGTTCCATTGGGTTCTCCACAAATTAACTCTCTGGGATGTTGACTGGCGGAAGAAACAGAGAGAATGTTTGCATTATCCATTCGAATGGGTGATGCTAAACTTTTTAAATCACAAGTAACGAGTGATTGTTATTAAAACGGGCTTTGGAATTGGCTCTCTATCACAGACCTTGCTCTTGCTCTGACTTGACGCAATATACTTGTATATATATATATATATATATCATTGTGCAAAATCACGTCAATTGAGAGAGTGTGTGTATACGTGAACGAAACTTGGATTAAACATGTGCAACGAGTTCGATGATTCGCTGCCTTCCTCACACCGCAACTCTAACCAACGAGCCTCACCCATACGTATACGCACACGTATATATATTCACGCATAAATCGTACCATCTGTTTGGAGAGTTCCCTTCACGAATCTAAGAGATTTGCCGGGTGAGGAACTATGGATTCCATGGGCAGTGCAGATATCCTTCGCCGACCGGCTCCCTATTTCTCTTCCTCCGATGAATTTTCCTGGCGATCCTTTGCCGATGTCGTCGCCTCTTATTCCGGAGCCACCGTGGTCGCGCTTCTGTTCATTCTTCTCTGGCATTTTTTCCTCTCCCGGAAATTTATGCTCCTCAATTTTGCTTCTTTTTCTTCTCCTTCTTCTTCCTCTGCAGCTTCTGGTGCTCCTGCCGTGAATTCCCAGTCAGGGTAAAGGTTTTGAATTTGTTGAACCCTTTTGCGCATTTCTGTTCTTTGTTTCTAATTCTTATGTGGGTTGTTTCTGTTGTTGTCGGATTTGTTTGCTGCCTGCAATTATTTGATGATCTTGTGGGATTTTGTTCAGATGGGTCGCTTCCAAATTCAAAGTTCTCGTTTTTGTTCTATGATGGGTAAAAAAGTTCTGACCTTTACACTACGCTATGGCTTCTTTAAATCCGTATGTATGCTGTGAGGGTTGTTTCGATGAGATGTGTATGTGGCGAATCCATATCTTGATTGAGTCCAGGGTATAATAGAATAGATAAAGCAAAATCCTGTTGTTCGCGTGTGATTAGTTCTGTTTCAGATTCCTTATGGTTTTGAGTATACTTACTTCTTTTTCAGTATAATTTCAATGTTTGTGTACCTGTATGGGCACAGTGACAGTGATCTAGACTTTATATCTAAATCAAATTCTCCTTGCAGAATCTCTGGGCTTGTCTCTGATGAAGATCTGAAAGGCCTAATTAGAAACTTGGAGGGAGAAACTGAGGATGGCGAGATATGGGAAAATGTAATTCAGAAAAGCAATGATCGTGTATCATATAATGCTGAATGCTGCAAGCCGAAGGTATACTCAATTCTTCCATTTCAATTTCTAGATGTTCTGGTTGATCAATAAGTTTGTGTTCTGCTTCTTACAGGACGGTGGTCCCATGAAGTACCTTAGTGTTACAGTATTTGAGGACTGCTCTCCAGAGGTTTTGAGGGACTTTTACATGGACAACGATTACAGGAAACAATGGGATAAGACTATAGTAGGGCATGAGCAATTGGAGGTTGACAGTACAAGTGGAGTCGAGATTGGTCGCACAATAAAGAAGTTCCCCTTGCTGACACCGAGGGAGTACGTTTTAGCTTGGAGGTTGTGGGAGGGAAATGATAACTTGTTCTTCTGTTTCATCAAGGTAAGGTGGACTAAATCTTCACTCTAGATTCAAGCTAATTTTGTAGACTTACATTTAGCTTTCACCCTTTAAGTCAGCCTTTCTGTTATTCTTGGTATATCAGTGAAGTTGTAGAGTGGGATACCGAATAACTTTGTATACTGCTACGTTGATACCCACAAGACCGGAGTAGCTTCTTGTTCTCCACAATATCCTTCTTCTGTCTGGACTATATAATCCATGATAGTAATCATTTTAGTTGCATATCAATCTTTTTTTCTTTGAAAGCAATGATCTGATCTGTACAATTTATGCAAATTGTATTTACCTTTCCCCCTGATCCTGTGGGCCTGTATGGTTAACTATAACCCTTGTATCTGTTATATGTCTCTTTGAGTTATGTTTAAGTATTCTGTTCTTGTTGTTTCTTAAAGGTCACACATAGCTTGTTGTTTAACTTGGTTTGAGTTTCGATTATCATCAGGAATGCGATCACAACCTGGCACCGCGTCAGAGGAAGCATATACGTGTAGGTTATTTTAGATCTGGTTGGCGAATCAGGAAAGGCAAGTGTTTATTGTCAGCTTTGATGTCAAATATCAACGAAGAACAAGTCTCTTCTCATCAATCCTGTCTTTTCACCGTATAATGCAAACCTGCTAAACCGAAACTTACTGCAGTTCCTGGTAGAAGTGCTTGCGAGATCAAAATGTTTCACCGGGAAAATGCCGGGTTGAATTCTGAGATGGCGAAGCTAGCTTTCTCTAGAGGCATATGGAGTTACATCTGTAAGATGGATAATGCACTTCGCAGATACATTGCAACCAGCCCTAGACCCCCAGTGCCATCTCTGTCTGCTGTCAGCTCAATGAGAAAGGTGAGACATCGGTCTGGACAGGTCAGGTCAATGAGAAAGATAATCTATTGCATCATCGTGTGTAGGACTTCTTTGACATCATTTTGGATGCAACAGGTTCCATCTGAATTTGAAACTGAGAGAGATGATACAACCGATGTGGGAACTAGTGGGTTGGACACAAGTGATGGAGTAAACAAGCGTGAGGTTAAGGGGAAGAAGAAACCAATGAAGAGGCCGTCGAAGAAACTGATAGCAAAGGGTTTGATTCTGGTGGGAGGTGTGATATGCTTGTCTCGTGGTCACTCTGCGTTAGGGGCTAAAGTTGCACTGGCTTACTTCTTGACTAAACTGAGGAAAAAGCATGGAGCTTCCCCGACCCAAACCAGCCAAGATGCCATCCCTATCTAACTCACTCTGATAAGGCTCTGTGAATAGTGTTTAAAGAAAGATTCTGTTTTTGTCACAACTCTGGTAACATGCAACTCTTTATAGGCTCCTTGTCTTTGGTTTCTCCAGTTTGTGTTCGTAACCTAAATGTATGAACGCAGAAACTATGTCCGACCCCTCAAAAAAAGGGGAAAAGAAAAACAAAGCAAAAGCTTATTGTACCTGTACCTGAGGCATTTTCTTTAGAGAGAAAAAAAAAGAGAGAGAGAGAGAGAGAGAGATGCGTGTATAGGTAGTACATATATATATAATGTATGTCAACGTGTACGCATCTGTACTTGCAGTTAGATCACACTTAGGCATGGCTTCTGGTCTCTCTCCTAACATTGCGGTGTCTGCTTTGTTTTTAGCTGTACATTTCTCTATTCGGACGTCCAAATTCACACCCAAAAAACGTCATCTGAATTTTATTACATCCAGAGAAACAAGGGAACGGATTTTAACAGAAGAAACTGCATTTCCATTTTTGGTTGCTTGTTGCCATTTCTTTTCAATCTCTAGCTTCTGTTCTTGTCCTCTCTTTCGGTGTTTTCTTCTTCTGCAAGGAACCTGAGACGTGATCGAACATTGGGTTTCTCTTTCGATCTGCTGCGAGTTTCTTCGCGCTCAGATCGTTCCATATCGATCATGGCCCCGAATCTGCAGCTTTTGTTCTTCGTTCTCTGTTTCAAGATCTTCACTTCCGTTGTTCTTGCGGAGACCGATAGCCAGGACGGTAAGTGTATTTACAGAATGCCGAATCAACCACACAATGCATCATATATATATATATGTATATATGCATATGGAATTCACGTATCAAAAGTTTTGAAATGTTTTGTGAAAAAATGAGAGAGGGCGTTAGGATTCATCATGGGTTTGATCGTTTAATGGAGGAAGAGGAAAAGGGCTTTTCTAATTCTGTCATTGGCAAAATCATGAGCACCCCATAGTTTGAGGATAACATGTTTAATAGGTGGTAGTGTTGTGAATGATGATCTGCTGTAGTTTCGGCTCTAACGGACGTGTACAAGAGCTTAAACTCTCCGTCAAAACTAAAGGGATGGACTTCTGATGGAGGTGATCCATGCACCTCATGGGACGGTATCACTTGCAAGGGCTCGTCTGTTTCTGAAATGTACTTCCCTCTCTTCTACACCCTCAGATTCCGATACTCGCACCATTTCTCTCTCTCTGAAATTGTTCCTTCTTTCTCTGTCATGCAGAAGGTTATCAGGACTTGGACTCAGTGGATCATTGGGTTACCAATTAGCCAACTTGAAATCAGTCACTTACCTGTGAGATTTCACTTTCACGTTTTCGGTGTGTTTGTTATGTCTCGTTCCTCCTCATCAAGCGGAAACTTTACATTGTGTTGCTTGTCATAGTACAGAGATGTCAGCAAGAACAACCTTAATGGCAATTTACCATATCAGCTCCCTCAGAGTCTTGTTTATCTGTAAGCATTACACAAAACCCTCATTGGCAATTTCTTTCATCTTCTCCACCCGGTATTTTACAAAAATGTGCCCACTTTTGCAGAGATCTTTCTGAGAATGGCTTCAATGGTAACGTGCCATACTCGATATCTCTTATGAACAGCCTCACTTATCTGTAAGCTCAAGAAACTATTCGCCTAATACCCACTTATGGTCACGTTTATTCATGAAAAAGTTTCGGCTTTTCTTAGTTGTTATTGGTTCTGCTCAGAAACATCGGTCATAATCAACTTAATGGGGAACTGAGCGATATGTTTCAGAAGCTTCCGAAGCTTGAAACAATGTAAGCCCTTTGCTCTTTTGCATCAAATCTTTACGTAAACGAGGCCTCGTAACAAAGAGAGAGATTGGATTAACTTTATCGAACATATGCGTGTTTTGCAGTGATATGTCTTCCAATCAGCTGACGGGGAAATTACCGCAGAGTTTTGCCAATCTTACAAGCCTCAAAACACTGTAAGAGAAGAGATACTGAAGTGATTGTAGCAATCTCTATGTTTTTTCACCTTACCCTTTACATAAATTCTCTCACAGGCATTTGCAAGACAATCAGTTCAAAGGTTCCATAAATGCTCTCAGAGATCTCCCTCTTGATGATCTGTAAGTAATCTCTGATACATTCTACATAACTAGAGAGAATTTTCCATCCGCCATTTTTTTTTATCTACGAGACGAGATTAACGAAAGCTTCTTGTCATCGATGTCGATGTGAGGATTCAGAAACGTTGCAAACAACGAATTCAGCAGTTGGATCCCAAATGAGCTGAAGGGCATTGGAAATCTTCAGTAAGTAAACAAGCATATATCTTCTTTCCCTTCGCTTGAACAAAAGCATCTGTCTCTCATTTTTTTTTTCCCGATCTAATTAATGGATCAGGACTGGAGGCAACAAATGGTCAACAGGGGCGGCACCACCCCCACCACCAGGCACGAGACACGGTTACAGAGACTCAGGAGATGGAGGAGGAGGAAAGAGTCTAAGCATCGGAGTTATAGTTACCTTAGGCTGTTTAGGGGCTCTGATTCTTACCGCATGCATCATTGCTCTTGTTTCTTGTAAACACCATGCCCCTTCTTCGCATTTTATGGATGAAGAGAAGGGCAGTAGCCACCATGGAAGGCCTCGATATACTCCAAAACCATCTCAGATGCTACACTACGAGGCGATGGATGGCCGCAAAGGTAGTAAATGGACATTCTGAATTGACTGATTCCTTCAGTGCTGAAGCTTGTGTCTTGTGAAAACGTTTCTTCTTGCAGGAGGCGAGAAGAGTGTGGATTCTGATGCTCCGGTTTCGTTTAAACGGAATTCGTCAGTGAGGTTTAAGAATTCTCCTACTCTTTATCTGATAACTCCAGAAGGCTCCACCATTGAAGGTCTTACGAGCCCTGATCAAATGCTTCCTTCGAGCCCTGTTGAGTCATTTTCCATGTCAGATTTGCAGAACGCGACCATGGGTTTCTCTCCCAGCCGCTTTCTTGGCGAAGGGACCATCGGTCGTGTTTATAGGGCCAAGTATCTCCATGGACGGGTACGCTCTTGTTCTCATTCTCCATTGTCTGAACTTGTCAAGAATATGCTAAGATCCTTCACTGTTAATCTCCAACAATTGCATGTTTATCAGATTTTAGCTGTGAAAGAGATAGATTCGTCATTGTTAGGAAAAGGAAACCCAGAAGAGTTTTCATCGCTGGTGTCGAACATCTCGAGGATTCACCACCCAAATGTTGCAGAACTCGTGGGTTATTGCTCAGAACATGGACGCAACCTGCTAATTTACGAGTATTTCACCAGCGGATCACTACACAGATTTCTTCACTTGTCCGATGATTTCAGCAATCCCTTAACTTGGAACACCAGAATCCGAATTGCTCTCGGCTCAGCCCGTGCCATAGAGTAAGTCTAATCTTCATCATAAACAAGAGTTGTATGATTTGAGTGTTTCTTTTCATCTGTTAACAAAGAACTTTCTCTCTTTCTCACAGGTACCTTCACGAAGTTTGTTCACCGCCGTTGGTCCACAAGAACATCAAGTCGTCGAACATTTTACTCGACAATGAGCTCAATCCACATCTCTCAGACTATGGAATGGCAAACTTTCACCATGTGAGGTTCTTTAATTATGTCCTGAGCATTTTGTGCTGCAAGAAAATCGGCTAATGAGATGTAGCGTTGTAATGGCAGAGAACGAGTCAGAATCTTGGAGTGGGATACAATGCACCTGAATGCACAGACCCTTGTGCTTATACGCTAAAAAGCGACATCTACAGCTTTGGTGTGGTCATGCTGGAGCTGCTAACTGGTCGAACTCCTTACGACAGGTTCATTTATCAGATTCCATCTCATGGTTAAAGAGGAAGAAGATACGTAAATGTGGAATGATTTTTGACTGAATATAAATGTTCAGTAATAGGCCGAAACAAGAGCAGTCGCTGGTTCGATGGGCAAGGGCGAGGCTTCAGGACAGGGAAGCTCTGGATGAGATGGTTGATCCTTCACTCTGTGGGCTTTACTCTCCCGAATCAGTGTCTAAATTTTCCGAAATAGTTTATCTCTGCATACAGGTAAGACCCGTTCTCTATCCACATTTTTTTTTTCAGACCGATAACAGATTTTATTGGCAACGTTTCCAGATGGAACCTGAGCTTCGGCCACCGATTTCAGAAGTGGTGGAGGCACTGAATAAGTTAGTTTGACGCCGAGTCAGAAGAAGAAACGCCGAGCAGACAACTCTTTTGAATTTTCCATTCACAGTTTGTACGCCGATGCAATGCTTTCTTGGATGAGCTAATAAAAAAATCATCGTTTTCTGGATTGGGAGATGTCGATTCATCATTCAATTGAAGGAAAAGAAACCCAAACGTTAAAGTAAGATGTTAAAAATTGTGCGTCCATCCCGCATGGTAAGTATGCAATGTGAGCAGCTACATAACACAGAGACAAAAATGACTCTTTTGAAATTCCTTCATGTGAAAAAATTAGAGACAAGAAAATTTACAGTGGCAGTATCTTTCGGAACCAGGAAAAGAAACAATGTAAACAAAACTCATTTATTCTTTCTTCAGATTCTCAGCAATTAAACGTTCATCGGAGACACCGTTCTCCACATTTTCATGGACGGATGAGCTGGGGGCATCGGCATCAGCGGACTCCTCGTCACTGCTCCATTTCCTCACAAATTTGGGAACCATGCTCCTTACATCTCTTGCCTCAGCTGCCTCGTCAATATCGCTTATTCTTTCAAACCGAACAGCACTCACTTTCCTGGCATTCCCCGCCAGTATCTGCCCCCGCAGACAAAAGAAAGCTTAGTAAGAAACTTAAGCCAAAGAGAATTGTGGGAGAGAGCACTGAGTTCAAAAAACCTCTAGCTTATAGATGAGGTGTTTCTCCTTTGGATCTTGTTGGCGTTCTGGTTTACTTTCATCTTGTTCATCTTCTTCTTCCCTTTGTTCCTTTTCCAGGACGACCGTCACGCTCTCACCAGTTCTTGGGATGTACCCAAAGGCCTCACACACAAACCCTGACACTGTCTCGTACTGATGACCCTGCTTCCCAAAACGATAACAAGGGATTGTTAACAGTTAGTGTATAAACCATAAATAAGATAATAGCAAAAACCCTTACTATATTCATATAATATCCTCTATCCCTCGCTTATTTCAAAGAATTGAGTGTTGGCCGCCTCTTTTGATTTTATTTCCCTTGTTTTCAAGCCCAGAAATGGGAAAAAAAAAGGGTGGAAAAAGTGATGTAAACACGGTGAACTCGTTATAGCTGACAACACAGCAAGTGAGCATCAACAAATCAAACAAAAAAGTAAAACCTCTAGCTAAGCCAAGAAGAACATGTCTGAGGCAGTATCGTAAAGAATATATTCTGAAAGCTAATAAATGAAAGCCGCAGCTCATAGCATGTACCTCTGGCATCTTTATGCTGAGTTCTTCAGAAAGTTGGTCAATAGATGTATTGGCATCAACATCATATGTCCCCTCGGCTCTCATCACAATGTAACCGGTTTTCTTCTGAATCTCCTCCTATTGAACCAAAAACAAGAAAGTGAAGAACATAATGTGGTGTGAGAAATCAGGCATATTAATAGGATGTTTAAGCCGGTGAGGAACATTGTGCTAAAATAAGCTGAAATAAGGGCACTTACTTTTGAATCATTTTCATCGAATATTTCACCAACAATCTCCTCAACCACATCTTCCAGAGTTACCAACTGCATACCATGCAGAAACAATATTTTGGGGGAGAGAGAGTCTTAGCCTATCTCATAAGTGATGAAGGAAAGAAAATAAGGGAGCATAGAGAGGAGCATCACATACTCCAATGGTTCCACCATATTCGTTAAGGACAACAGCCATGTGAACCTTTCTTATACGAAATTCCCTCAGAAGATTCCAAACGGACATTGAATCTGCAAATTATGACACAGTCTCAGATTTCCTTACATATAAAATGAACCCACAGAAATAATAATCAGCCAGCTTTCTGGGTCAAAAAACAGGCTGACTTCAAACACAAAAGAAGGAAGATCACAATATAATAAGTGCATATGGTTCAGGCATCAAATGCAAAATAAAATTCATTGATGATTACCGGGGACAAAGTAAGCAGGTTTATGTGCCATGTCCCCCACAGATGTACTCTCTAGTAGATCACCCTTCAAAATCAAATAGAATATAATTCATTCTGCACAACTATGATGTCATTTGATATGGTTACTAGGTAATCTCAGAGATCCAGAAGGGAAAAGGAGAAAAAAAAGAGAAGCAAAGTTGGCAAACCTTCTGAACATAATCTAGGAGATCCATGGCATATGCAATACCCACTATATTATCAATACGCTGCTCAAAAACAGGTACCCTGCAGAAAAAATACATCCATAGTAATCAACAGAAAGTAAGTGCTAAGATAAGAATCTTGAATAGATCACTTACCTAGAATATTGATGAGTCACCCACAGATTATGGAAATCGATTAAGCTGGCACTGGCGTCTATCGCAACTACATCAACAAGGGGAGTCATCACCTCTCTAACATGGGTATCCTTTATCTCTAATACATTTTCAATCATATCCTGCAATGTGATCATTTGAATAATCATAGATAGATACAGCATAAATCAAGAAAACAGACTAATAATTTACAAATCTTATACCTGCTCTTCCTCTTCTATAGCACCACTCAATTCTGCACCCCGCAGCATCAATTTCAACTCATCTTCTGTAACATATGGTTCACTGATAGAAAAAATAAAACGAAACATAAAGACTAAGTCCAGATCATTCTCGGCAAGGAAACATTGGCATACTATTAAAACAAACTAAATGAATATTTTGTATAAATTTGTCGCAAGCTAAAAAAGAAACTGAGCAAGTCTAGGTAGATGCACACCTTCGCCCTTTTAAACCAAGAATCTTTAGCATTCCCATCGATAGATAAGTGACAACTCTTCCAACAGGATATAATACCAGGGAAAGCCATGCAACTGGTCTGACCTGGATGCACATTCACAAAACAAAAGTCAAATATTCCTTTCATAATCCAAGAAGAGGGAGATCTGGGCCCTCAAGCTCACTCCACTAGAGGGTTCTTACGACTAAAGCCAGTGAATCACCCGTTATGAAGTTTTCACAAAACTGCACTACTCATGGAATTAGAGTGTACATAAAATTTAAAAGGTTTTCTTTTTCTTGCATTTGCTGATAACTAAATCAAACTTACCACAATCCGGGCGACATCTTGAGCATTGTGGACAGCTATACTCTTGGGTGTTATCTCTGTCAAGAGCAATATGGCAACCTATAAAGGAGAAGAAGGAACCGAGAAGAAAGTATCAGGAACCATGTTGATAGGAATAGGCAAAGTCCTTGTACAGGTCGTCACATTCATGATCGAAAAAAATATATCAGGACAGCAATCATGACGGTCAAAGAAACACGGAAATAAGCATCAATATACAAAATTAGAAATTTTCTTACGAAACAGAAATATTTATGTCCCCAAATGAGAGAATATCAGAAATTCAGACATACAGTCATCACTCCAGTGGCAGCACTAACACCAGCTTCACCAAATATAGCTGTTGCTGCCTCCGTGACTAAGGCAGTTGCTCCAATATTCACAACACTGAGAACAAATATAAGACCTTAAATAAGAAACTAGTTTCAAATAAGCCTTCAAAAACCATAATTGCATTGCAATTTGCATTTATACACAGAGAGAGAGAGAGAGAGAGAGAGAGAGAGAGAAATAGTACGTTGTTCCAATAAGTATGGTCGTCAAGAATCTGGTAACATCACTACGAAGCATTCTAAATACACCATTTTCTGGCTCTTTTTCAGCCAACTCACGCACCTGAGATGAACCCAGAAAGACAGACAGATGATAAGGCAATACAGATCATGTATTTCAATTGAACCAAAAAGGGACAACAGAAGACAATGACACACAACACAGTGTGCACATATAATAGTCAGCAGGCATGATTTTTATTTTTCAGTTCCAAGTAATGCAAAGCAAGATATCCAGAGAAATTCCAAATCAAAAACACAGTCCTCTTCATTACATTAAAGACAACAACAACTCAACGGCATGCCAGATTTTCTGAACTCAAGGCTCCTAATTTGAGCCTGAAGAAAGTCCAACACTTGCATCCTCTTTCCATTTGATTTCCGTAGCCGTGACCGCTATCTAATGCCTTGCGTCATATAATCCATGAATGATGATATAACTCACCTTCCATGGCCATAGAGTGGTAATGGAAGTCTCCGCCATAGAGAAGAACGCAGAGAGGCCGAGAAGCGCAGCCAAAATAAGGCCTTGCTCTCTAAGAACCCTAAGAACCTGTGACGCTTTTGGCCAAGCATTCTTCAACAACAATATCCTCTGTCCAAATACACCATAGCCTGCATCCACCACACCTGATGATGCTAACACCCTTTGGCACCCAAACAAGAATACTCCCCACACCACTACCCCCAAAAGGATTCCCCGTTTCAGTATAACCTTTTTCTCTTCCAGTTCTTCGCTGGGATCGAAACGTTGCTGACTACCCACATGGCATTGGCTCGAGCTTAACATTATGAAGCGACCTCTATCGTTAAACCCACATCCCCGATGGAATCTAAAACTGAAATTGGACGGATTAGAATAATTAGACGCGACGGAGAACGGGTGTCCCTCGTTTCTCGACAGGACTCGTACTGGAAATTTCGGGTTTCGGCCGTATCGCGTGAGACTCGTGGTTCTCGCGCCGGAAACAAACACGGATTGACTCAGAACTGATAAATCGAGAGCCATGTCCACCACCATAATAGGAAAAGCTAAAAACCCAGAAACGAGAATCCCCGTAAAAACCTCGAAATGTGAATTTCTCCGGCGGCTGAAGTACGCGGAAAATAAAGTTGTCTCCTTTTATTTCCTTTTTCTTCTTCTCCAGCGCTCAGAGTGTGAAAAAACAGTATGTTAAGAGAGAATTTAGCTGCCTGATCAAAACGTAGCGGTGGGTCTGAGAGAGAAGGCTAGGGTTCATAGCTGAAGGAGAAACCCCCTCCGGCAACGCGAACGCTTTTGACTTTGTGATGTTGTTGGGAAAAGGCTGCGCCTTTCCTCCTCCGACTTGTCGCTCAGTCACAGTTTATTCGAGCAAGTGGCAGGGGTTGTCAAATGACATTAATACCCCCTGCAAAGAACCACACAGGCGTCTAAACCGGAACCAAACCGGAACCAAACCGAGAAACAGCGGTTCGGTTTACATCAAGCTACACCAACACCAAGGTACTGGAAGACATTTAATTCACGTGTGAAATTGATACCAAACAAGCATTCTTTGTTATTGCATTAATTTGAATAGGAGCCATTGGCTTTGGCTGTAATATTACAAGCTATAATCAGTAAAACTAAGAACAAAACTCAAAACAAAATGGTGATAAGTGGTCCAGAAGAACCAAGACAAGACTCAGAAGTCCTGTGTTTTCGTCGTCATCAAGCAAACTGATGTTTTAACCCTCGAGAGGAGAGACAGAGTCCTTTGTTTTAATCAAAACTAGAATTTGATCTAGCAGTGTACTCAGCAACGAGCTTAGCAAAAGATGATGACTTGTCCTCAAGCAATCTCCCTGGCGAATCATATTCATCGATGAGTCCTACAGAAAAAAACAAAAAACTCGTTATCAGTATGAGAAGATACTTCTGGTTTGAAGCATTTTGATGTTTTGTGATTATGAAGAGTTTCATTCAGACAAACCATTGCTCAGAAGCAGAACCATGTCGTTGTTTATGACAGAGGATATTCTGTGAGCAATGGTTATGACAGTGCAATCTGAGAAGTGTTGTCTTAACGTATGCTGAATCAGGTTGTCAGTTGCAGTGTCAACCGAAGCAGTGGCTTCATCAAGCACCAATATTTTGCTTCTCTTCAGTAAGACTCTGCCAAGACACACCAGTTGCCTCTGCCCCATGCTCCAGTTCTCTCCATTCTCGTTAACTGTGTATACTCACAGATTTCAGTATTTTATCAGTTCCACAGAACAGGTTCATCAATGTCATTACAGTGATCCATTTGCAGTGAACAAAACTAACCGATTGAATCGAGTTTTCCTTCTTTTCTTCTCACTTCATCTCCAAGTTGGCACTTGTCAAGGGCCTAAACCCACACAGCAGAAACATCAGTTGAAGTTGCAAGTTTTACTCTGACCAAAGAAAGAGCGTGTCTGATTTTCAGAAAGAACATTGACCCACCTCCCAGATTTGATCATCCGTGTACTCTTCAAGAGGATCCAAGTTACTTCTCACTGTGCCTTCAAACATGGTTGGATCTTGAGGTATAATGCTTAGTCTTGAACGCAAATCATGCAGTCCAATGGTTAGGATATCTACTCCATCAATCCTGATTTCCCCAGCTGATGGTTCCACAATCCGGAAAAGGGTCTGTATCAAAGTCGATTTGCCACTTCCTGTCCTTCCTACAATTCCTGTCTTTAGCCCTCCTGAGAAGGTGCATGTTATTCCTCTCAGCACGAGAGGCATATGGGGAGCATATCGAACCTACATTGTCATGTTCAACCACAGTTGGCATGAAGAAAATGACACAAGAAGCAGGCTCTGAAGAACCAAGTTTCAATACGGAGTGCACAAATATACCTGAAGATCACGGATCTCCACTTCTCCGTGTGAAGGCCATGATTGCTTAGGTCGGTTTGATTCTATTACAAGAGGCGGTTCACTGGGAATGCTAGTATACTGAAGTATTCTCTCCACCGATATGATTTTGTTCTCGAGATTACAGAGAGTCCATATCAGCCAAGCTTGCATCATATTAAGATTGAGTCCATAAGTCACAGCTAAACCCGCAATGCCTGGAGAAGCAACAAACCAGAGAAAAGAACACACAATCTCAGATGTTGACTAGCAAGGGGAAGAATTTCTTAACGCGGATAAGAAGTCGAGGGAAAAAAAAATACTCGGATCAATGACTCCAGTGGGTATGGAGATCAAGAAAATCAGAGAAAAGGCAAATGTGAGAGAAGATAACATATCCAGGCGGAAGCAAAGCCATTCCATCGCTCCAGCGGAATAGAATTTGGGCCTGGAATAACCATCACTTAGCCTCATGTTATCAGAACGAAATCTCGATTCTTGGTCGAAGCTCCTGATGGTTGTTGACCCCGAAATTGTTTCAGCAAAATGCTGTATCAGAGGGGCTTTGCATACTCCGATTAACCGAGCAAGTTCCCGTGCAGCCGCTATGTAATATCGCTGCACAGTTTAAAAGTTCTGTCAAGTTAGACAATCAGTGTTGGGGACTTCAAGAAAGTACATCTCTTTAAATTGTTGTTCATAGAGTCAAGTCAATTCTCGACGTAGTGATAGCTAGATCGAGAAGATTATGAACAGTACCTGGTACCAAATAGAGGCGGCAACTACAGGGATAAAGACAACAAAAACCTGCCAGGAAACCTGAGACATAACACCTACGATTCCAAGAAGCTGGATAACGGTGATAGCAACTGACGCAAATTGATATGGTATGTTCAAATCCACAGCAGATTGGTCAGTAGAAGCCTGAAGAAGGAATTCAAACATTGATCAGACAAGAGAAAACAGAAATTCTCACTAAGACACAAATAAACATATGCAGTTACAAACTTACCCTATTCAGGATCCGTCCACTTGGAGTGGAATCAAAGAAAGACATCGGGGCACGGAAGATGCAGTGGTGCATCCTATGGAAGAGTTCAGTGGCAGCCTTGTAACCGGCCGTAACGAGAAGTGTGGCTCTTGCAAGAATGCAGAGAGAACTTCCAAGGGCCAAAGCCACATACACAATCATTAACGTCGAGCCGTTCACTGGAGGTTCTTCTTCCTCAGAAACAGGAGTGGCCCAGGCCATCCAGTAGTTGCTTCCAATCTGTAGAACCTGAAAGAGTATCTGTGCTAACAATATAAAGGGCACAAGGGCTCCTCCATAAGCCATCGTTATATATTTCCAGTACACCGTCAAAGCAACACTTCCTTTCTCCCTCTCTTCCTCCTCGACCAGTTGTCCTTTCGGCTCACCAGAGTCTGCTTTATTCTTCTCCCCGTCCTCCTTTTCTTCTTTCGGCTCATGCCCAATATCATCACTCACTACACCTTTTCCCTCACCAAAGGTTGTATCAATGGAATTAGACCTGGCATCAACAGAATCAACTACTGACAAAGCCTCCTGATGGGCGCCTACAAGCTCCATGAAATCTGTTCCAGAATTTAGAATATCACTGTACTTTCCAGCTTGGGTGATCTTCCCATCTTTCATGACCTGAGCAATAGAGAGTTAACCAAGGTCATTCAATGTATCAACGGTTTAAGAAAAAACAGAGAAGATAACACAGATTATCCACATACCAGAATGAGATCAGCTGCAGGTAAGAACTCAACTTGATGGGTTACATAGATAACTGTTTTCGAGCTCAGTAGCCCAAGTAAGACCTCCTGTCAGAACAGTTCAAATGAAAATCATACTCTACTGAACAGATGATGCAAATGAGACACAACTCATCACATGGTCTTAAATAAAAGATTCTCACCATGTAGTAACTTATATAAGAGAGAAACTAGAAATCACAATTACAGGTAAAAATGAAAACTGTACCTTAAAGAGATGTGACCCTGTATGAGCATCAACAGCACTGAAAGGATCATCGAACAGATAGATATCTGTGTCTTGGTAGAGAGCACGTGCGATCTGTATCCTTTGCTTCTGCCCACCGCTCAAATTGATACCTCTTTCCCCAATAACAGTCTGATCGCCAAACGAAAGTATCTCCAGATCTTTATTCAAAGAACATGCTTCAAGTACCCTTTCATATCGTGTTCTCTCCATTGGCTTACCAAACAGAATGTTATCTTCAATTTTACCGCTCTGAATCCAAGGCGATTGTGCAACATAGGCCTTCGTTCCACAGACCTTAAGACTTCCAGATATCTTAGGTACTTCTCCGAGTATGGATGAAAGTAAGCTCGATTTCCCCGAGCCAACAGTACCACAAACTGCAACTCTCATCCCATGAAAGGCTTTGAAACTAATGTCTTTCAAAGTTGGGTGAGAAGATGACACATCCCAAGAGAAAGTACCATTGGTTACTTCTACTGCCATGTCTGAACTCTCCCTAGGAAGTCTCTCCACCACATCTGACTGTAAATCGTCTAGACGAAGGAAAGATGCGATTCTATCAAGGGAGACTTTTGTCTGAACAATCATGGATATTGTGTCAGGAAGATTGTAGATTGGCTCTTGCAAAATCCTGAAGGTTGCCAGAGCAGACAGTATTTTCCCAGATTCCAGGGGAATTCCCAGAAACATACAAGCACCAAATGTGCAGACGGACACCAGAGTAGGAGCCCCCCAGAAAAAAAAGCTTATAACTGCCGAGTTATAGACAAACCTTTTCAGCCATCCTTCCTCATCTTTCCTGAGGTCTCCGATCTTGGACAGAAACTTCATCTCCCACCCCTGAAGTTTGAGAATCCTCATGTTCCTTAAGATCTCGGACGTTGATTTCATCCTTTTGTCCTTGGATGTCATTAGCTTGTCCTGAAACTTCTCTTGCATTCTCCCGAACGGAAAATTCACCAGCATAACTAGAACAGTAGCAACTAAAGCAGCTATTGATGCTAGCCCAAGATTTCTATACAAGATCCAAAGAGCTAAACAGACTTGCAAAACAACCATCCAAGGGTCATGCATGTACCAACTAAAATCACCAATCCTCTCAGCATCCACTGTCATAAAATTTATAATCTCCCCGCTGGTGTGTCCCTGCTTTGACTGGCACGAAAGGGTTAAACCCTTTTCGTAGATCATCGCGACCAATGCAGATCTCATCCTAATCCCCACCTTCTGCAATCTGAAGAACCAATGCCTTTGTGAGAGGCACTCCACAAGCTTAGCAACAAAGAAAGAAGTGACCAACACATATCCTTCATTTTTGAACAGCCTTCGTCCATTTAGGTACTGAACAAAAGTGTCAATGAGAGCGGGCCCTACGTATGAGGCAACCGTGTAGACGAAAGCAAAGAAAGCCGTCAAGAGAATTTCCCACTTTGCCGAGAAGAACAGTGCGTTTACAAGCTTAAGTGTGGTCACCCCACTGCTCTCACCAGTATCTGATTGAAGCTTGCTCCTAAAAACTGGGGCCAACCCAACTACACTATCACCACTATCAAGTTGAGGAACATCCTCAAGGTCAATGGTCTTCTTATTTCCAGAGTCTATCAGTGGAGTCATCCATGAGAATGTCAAAAGACTGAGGATCCCAGCACTTGAGTAAGGAGTTCCCTCCTTACTCTCATTGGCTGTATCAGGCTCTGCTGTGCCATCGACACCGTTTAGGAGGGGTTCTTCCAGAGGTTCACTGCTTTTGCCTCCCAATTTCCTTAGGAAAGCAACATAACAGAGAAACATGCCGATGCTAACCGTAACTACGTCATACACTAACAGGAGAACTGGTACTAGTTCGCGTCTCTTGTACAAAACAATGTCTACAACAAGACAGAAACAAGAAACAGCGAAATAGAAAACCAGCCAAAGTCCTAGCAGAAACGGCAACTTTTGCTCATCAGCCCTGCAGCGATGCGAGTAAATCGAAACAGAGGCCCAAGCAATAGCTGCCAATAGAAATCCTACGGAAGAAACTAGCTGGTAATCATCAGACCAAGAGCTCTGATACCAATAGAAACAACTCAGCGACATCATCACAAGATTGATGAGAGACAGGCCTAAACTGCAGAAAAGAGCCGGTGTATTTGCTAAACCGCTCATTTCCTTAAACCGTTCATCCTTCAAACCCATAATACCCGAACCCCCCACTTTCTTACAAACCCATGAACAGAACATAATCAGCAACAAAAGGAGGTGCAAGAAACCAGAAACCCCACGTAGGAAAAGGGGTTTAAGAAGAAAAGACCCAAGCTTTGAATACATTACAGATTCCGAAAACGAGAACAACATCGTCGACATACCGTTGTGGGTGGTAGAGCCGAGGAAGTCCATGATTGGTGTTCTCTGTTTTCGATGATTTCAGGAGGTGGGTCAGATTAGGGGTATAGAATTGTCATCGAGAGAGAGATTTATAGACTGGGCGAGTCAATGAATCCAAATATCGTGGGAAAGTCGTTCCTTGATGAGCACGATTCACGAAACGGAGACGAAGGGAGGTCCCCGAGCTCCACCGCAATAAGACAAAAGAGAGAGGACGTCAAAAAGAAAGAAGCTGTTCCTGTGGCCGTAGTTTTGCTTTGGTATTAAGAGAGAGAGAGATGATAAATAATTAATCTGATCTTTGTCATCGAATCTGTTTCTGTTCAGACTCGTTTCTGTATGCAATCTGTTTCTGTTGCGATTTCCTTTTTTTATATTTTGTTTAATTAGTCTTTCGAGTTTTTAACCTAATGAATTTCGCTGTTTTACAAAAAAAAAAAACATTTTATTAGGGTATTTATTTATGTTGACAGAAATATACAAAATATTTATTAAAACCATAAAAATTTACACTAACGTTATATCGTGAAATCTAATTATGTGTGTGCTGTAAAAAAATCGAAATCTCGATGTTCTTGAATATAACGCTATAGGTCTCTATTATTTTACCTCATGTTCCTTCGATCGGCTTATTTTATCGTATGAGGTGATAATTATTTTTATAATACGTTTCATTCCCCAATAATAACAGAGCAGTAAGCGTCGGTCCATTGTGTCAGATTCAGTGTACTGTACCAATAATCATAATAATAATAAATAGTAAGTGGGTTTTGTTAGGATATTTATATCATTTTCCCATGGTGCCTCATTTTTCCAAAACGATTGTGTTTGACTATTCTGTCTCTAATGACAAAGTTGTTTTTGCCTTTGATTGATCCCTTACCATTTATAAATTAAAAATAATAATAATAATAATAATTCGGGACAATAGACTTGTAACCATTAAAAAAAACTTGGAACATAAGTGGTTAATGTCATTGTCTAGGTGACCGTAAAGAAAGAAACTGGGTTTGCCATTAACTTGTAAATGATTTCCGTATTTATTCGTCAACTCTCCCAAGTATTTTTTTTAATTGTGAAATGTTAATAACCATGTCCATCTATTTGTAATGAAGACCTTCGCCCACCGAGATATTTACACCAATTTTATTTTCCTCTTTAAACATCTCTAAAATATATGGTTTTGTTTTTGTCTATGAATATTTGAATTCAATGCACAGAATCCAACGATATATTACCATAGTCAAATCGAATTCGAACTAACGAGAAAACAATTAAATGTAAAAGTAACAAAACAATACAGACCACCGGACAGAAGACGAAGTTGGTTTTGTAGGTCACGTGAGGGTGTTTCTCTCCTCTTATTTCTGGCATAATATCTCTAATTTCATAAATAGATTCCATAATTAATGAGAGTTTCACGAGTGGGAGACCAAAGATCAAAAGGGATATGGGATCTTTGCTTTTTGTCATGGGAATCGACATATGCTTCTTTGTATACGAAAATTCTCGGAGGTTTCGTCATCCCCTCCGTCACTCCCTTTGACTCCAACCATTATCATCTATTGGGATCCTCTTCATTTGCTTGGTGCCCAAGCAACTACAAACCAATGAAATGCATTAAATGAATCCCTCAATCTCCCCATAAAGTATTCTGCGATGATACTATTTTCTTGACCAATCACACGTTATTTTTATATACTCTCCTTAACCGGAAATAAGAAATAACAATCAAATCTTGCATGAAAAAAATAAATTTTCATACACATTTGAAAACAGACGATGCATGCACCAAACACATTCCACACAGTTGATTTCCCTTTCTCGCTTGTAAACCGTTTAAATTTGATTTCTTCTTCCTCATATGCAAACGTCGTCGATTTATGTTTTTGGTAAGCATTTTGAATCTTCCCTATTCGTCTTATAATTTCCCTTTTTACCCGACTTTGTTCCTCAATTCGTCTGCTATAAGTTGACGCAGCACATATAATTTTCACATTGACATCACCAAGAAGAAGAAGAAGAAGAAGAAATCGCCACAAGAGAGAAGTTGTGTAAAAGATCCTAGTATGAGTAATGATCCAGGATCTTCCATTTTCTTGCATCTGCTGTTATTGCTGACACTGTTTGGCTCATGGGTTTGCAACAAAGTGAAGGTCGGCCAAAGCAGAGACGACGACGAAAGATTCAACAACAATATCATGCCGCCTCTAAAGTATCTCAAGTTTGCTCTTTTATCCTCTGTGACTCTGTCTGTCTTAAATCTGGTGCTGTTCCTCTTGAGTTTCCATGGAAACGGTTGGTTTCACTGTGAACCAATCAACACGCTTGATTTTCTCTTGGCGACCATTGCTTGGGCCGCCATTTCCATCTACTTGAACTCTCTCTTCCCTTGTCCTTCTCTGAACCAAAAGTTCCCGTTTTCTCTGAGAATATGGTGGGTTCTCTACTCTGTTGCTTCTTGTTGTCGCGTTGTGCTGGACGTTGTTCTGTACAAGAGACACAAACCGGTACCTATTCACCTTGTTACGTCTGATGTAATGGCTGCCAGCATCGGTTTGTTTCTGTGTTATGCTTGTTTCCCAAGGAAAGAGGGTAATGAAAGCATGGACCTTCTGAAAGAGCCGCTCCTGGATGCTACAGATAGTGCAGAGTCAAGGAAAGGCAAAGCCAGTGATGACGCCACACCTTATTCGAAGGCCGGGATCCTTAGCATAGTGAGTTTCTCATGGATGAATCCTTTGATTGCTTTAGGGAACCAGAAGACTATAGATGCAGAGGACATTCCCGGACTTGACCCTAGCGACAGAGTAGAAGGGCTATTTCAGATCTTTAGGAATGGACTCGATAGGAATGTGACAAAGTTTAAGCTTCTAAAGGCGTTGTTCTTCATAGCGCCGCTAGATATTTTCGTGTCAGGTTTACTTGCTCTTCTACACTCTGTCTCTATCTATGTTGGGCCGTACCTCATGGACACTTTTGTTCAGTTCTTGAATGGCAGGAGACAGTACAGAAACGAAGGGTATGTTCTAGTGACAACTTTCTTCATTGCCAAGGTTGTGGAGTGTTTATCACACACGCACGGGTACTTTAGGTTGGTAAAAGCAGGGGTTAGAATGAGATCGGTACTGGTCTCAATGATCTATGAAAAGAGCCTGACCCTTCCATCTCATTCAGAGCAGAGACAAACAAGTGGAGAGATCATAAATCTCATGACGGTTGATGTTGGGAGAATCGCTGATCTGTGTTGGTACCTTCATGACCCTTGGTTAGCAGTGTTACAAGTCACTCTGGCTTTGTTGATTCTGTACAAAAGTCTTGGCCTTGCATCATTTGTAGCATTTGCTGCAACCTTAGTGGTTATGCTGGTGAATTTTCCGTTTGCAAAACTGGAAGAGAAGTTTCAGGACAAGTTAATGGAATCGAAAGATACCCGGATGAAGAAAACCTCTGAGATCTTACTGAACATGAAGATTCTTAAACTTCAGGGGTGGGAAATGAAGTTTCTTGATAAGATTCTCGAGCTGAGGCGTCAAGAAGCAGGGTGTTTGAAAAACTTTGTGTATAACTCTGCAGTAATCACTTCCGTTCTGTATAATTCGACTTCTTTTGTGTCAGCATGCACATTCGGTGCTTGTCTGCTTCTTGGAATTCCTCTTGAATCAGGAAAGATACTGTCGGCTCTTGCAACGTTTAGAATTATGCAAGAACCTGTCTACCAACTTCCTGATATGATCTCAACGTTCGTTCAGTCAAAGGTATCTCAACAGAATCACATCTTTTCTTTGTCAAGATGATTTGCAGTCAGATGCTGCGGAGATACTTCCTTCTGGTAGTTCCGACATTGCGGTAGAAGTAAACAATGGAGCTTTCTCTTGGGATGCCTCGTCTCTTAACCCGACTTTAAGAGAAATCAGTTTCAAAGTAAATCAAGGTCTGAAAGTTGCAATATGTGGGTCTGTCGGATCGGGAAAATCGAGCTTGCTTTCATCTATACTCGGGGAAGTACCCAAGAAATCTGGAAATCTGAAGATTTGTGGGACAAAAGCATATGTCTCACAATCACCATGGATTCAGAGTGGAAAGATTGAAGAGAACATTCTGTTTGGCAAGCCAATGGAAAGAGAATGGTATGAAAGAGTTGTTGAAGCTTGTTCTTTGAGTAAAGACTTGGCTATACTTCCATTCGGGGATCAGACAGTCATCGGGGAAAGAGGTATAAACTTAAGCGGTGGACAGAAGCAACGTATACAGATCGCTCGAGCTCTCTACCAAAACGCAGATATCTATTTGTTTGATGATCCTTTCAGTGCAGTAGATGCTCATACTGGCTCGCATCTCTTCAAGGTAATAAGAGATTCCATATATTTCAGAGCACATCCTTATGTTATGATTCATGTTACAGTGATACATGATACTTCATTGTCATGATAACAGGAAGTCTTGATGGGCCTTCTGAATAACAAAACAGTCATATATGTAACTCATCAAGTTGAATTCCTGCCTTCTGCTGATCTTATACTGGTAAGTGACTTGTTCTATATCCACCGTCTTGCCTTCTTTTTCTAATTCAGATGAGAAAAAGAACGGAATGAAAATCATTCTCGGTAGGTTATGAGGGACGGGACGATCACACAAGCTGGGAAGTACAGCGAAATCCTCAGTTCAGGAACAGATTTCATGGAACTTGTAGGAGCACATAATGAAGCCTTAGCATCTGTTGATTCAATTGAAAAAGGAAGTGTTTCAGGAAAAGAACACAGAGTTTCGGCTGAAAATGCAGCAAATACAGAGAGTAATGGAGGAATCAGAGAAGAAGAAGAAGATTCATCTGAGCCACAAAGACAAGTTCAAGAAGAAGAGAGGGAGAAAGGTAAAGTCGGGTTCAAAGTGTACTGGAAATATCTGACTCTAGCGTATGGAGGAACCCTTGTTCCCTTCATACTGTTAGTTCAGGTTCTCTTCCACCTTCTAAAGATCGGAAGCGAGTATTGGATGGCTCGGGTGACTCCTATCTCCGCTGACCTGGAACCTCTGGTGAACGGCTCTACGTTGATTATAGTATACGTAGGTTTAGCCGTTATGAGTTCTTTCTGCATTCTCATCAGAGCAATCCTTGTTGCAATTGTCGGTCTCAAGATTGCTACTGAACTCTTCAACCAAATGCATCTACGTGTTTTCCGTGCCCCGATGTCCTTCTTCGACACCACCCCGACGGGTCGGATTCTGAATAGAGTTAGTAACAATCACAGCCTGTTTTTATTCATCAGATTCATTGAGTTTCTTGCTCTGATAAACGTGGCTTCCAACCTTGTTTTTAGGCCTCGACGGACCAAAGTACCGTGGATTTGGAATTACCGAATCAGTTTGCGTCTTTTGCTACCGCTGCTATCAGCGTATTAGGAGTTATCGGGGTGATGGTTCAGGTCTCTTGGCAGGTTCTCATTGCATTTATCCCCGTGATTGCAGCTTGCTTCTGGTATCAGGTATTATTCCTCCTATCCAATCCTTCATCAAGAAATCGTTCTTGAAACACTATGCAAATCCAAGATTTCATGTTGAATTTATTGAGGTATCATCACTTCATTATGATGATGTCAAATGAAGCGTAAACATTTGTATATGCAGCAACATTACATATCAGCAGCTCGGGAAATCACAAGGATAGCTGGAGTAAGCAGATCGCCTTTGATACAGCATTTCTCCGAAACACTTTCGGGCATAACAACTATCAGGAGCTTCGATCAAAAGTCGAGATTCTGCAAAGACAACATGAGGCTGAGTGACTGCTATTCTCGGGTCGTGTTCCACTCCGCCGGAGCAACAGAATGGCTCAGCTTCCGCCTCGATGTATTATGCACCGTCGCTTTTGCATTGTCACTTGTTCTTTTGGTATCTGTGCCTCAAGGAGTCATTAATCCAAGTGAGTCCACTTCCCTCGCATCAAAATATGTTTTCTGCTTTCCTCGGATCCCAAAACTCTTTACCTTTTCCTATTTGCATTGTTTTCTCTTCTTCTCGCAGGCATTGCGGGATTAGCGGTGACATATGCGCTGAACTTGAATGGTTTGTTGGATTGGCTTGTATGGGTTCTCTGTTATCTCGAGAACAAAATCATATCTGTGGAGAGAATACTTCAATACACAGACATTCCAACTGAAGCACTTCTCGTGGTAGAATCAAATCGGCCTGAGAAATCTTGGCCTTCGCATGGAGAAGTTAATATCTGCAATCTGCAGGTGATTCAGACTCCACCGTTACTGTTTCCATCGAGTTTACGAACTCATGGTTTACTTCTTCTTGTAACACTGAATGATGAAAACATATGCAGGTAAGATATGGTGGGCATTTGCCTCTGGTGCTGCGTGGATTAACATGCACGTTCCCAGGAGGCTTGAAAACAGGAATCGTTGGAAGAACAGGAACCGGCAAATCAACTTTGATACAAGCTCTTTTCCGGATCATGGAACCTTCAGCTGGAGAAATCAGGATCGACGGAGTAAATATCTTGATGATTGGGTTGCATGATTTGCGCTCTAGGCTAAGTATCATACCTCAAGATCCGACCATGTTTGAAGGAACTGTTCGGAGTAACTTAGACCCACTCGAAGAGTACACTGACGAACAAATCTGGGAGGTTAGTCGACTTTTGTTTCTGGAAAATTGTCTGCAGATGACAGATGACAAGGGAAGCTTCTTATGCTGTTGTTTTCCTGTCTTTGCTCTTTAGGCCCTCGACAAGTGCCAGCTTGGAGATGAAGTAAGGAAGAAGGAAGGGAAGCTAGATTCTTCAGGTAGTACGAATGTACAAGTTCCGTGTTGGATGATTGTATGTTCTGCATTATGGTTTGACGAAACATGGGATATTGCAGTAGCGGAGAATGGACAGAACTGGAGTATGGGGCAGAGGCAACTGGTGTGTCTTGGGAGGGTCTTGCTCAAGAAAAGCAAAGTGTTGGTTCTTGATGAAGCCACTGCTTCTGTCGATACCGCAACTGACAACCTGATTCAGCAGACGTTGAGACAACACTTTTCAAACTGCACAATAATTACCATAGCCCACAGAATATCCTCTGTCATAGACAGTGATATGGTTGTAGTCCTAAACCAAGGTAATCAGATTGCACCAAACCATTTCTCAGACTGCGAAGCAATGAGTAACACAAGCATTATGTTCCTATGTGCAGGTCTTATCGAGGAACATGACTCACCTGCAAGATTGTTGGAAGACAAGTTTTCATCTTTCGCCAAGCTCGTGGCTGAATACACAGAGAGATCAGATCCCAGTTTCAGAAAAGCCCTGAGAATCAAAGAGCAAGACAATGCATTTGTTGTAATGGCAACAGGGCAATGATTATGAGATGTTCAGGTTCTATGTTTACAGGAAACGGAAATAGATTGCCATTGACAAGGAGAGTAAAAGAGAGCAGAAGTGAGGTCACTGTAAGCAAGTGTTTACCAAGTAACACTTTGAAATCTGCTCTCTGGTAAATGGAGTGACCATACGAATTCACATTATTTGATTTAGTGAAGAACCATGCAACATCCTCATGCAGCCTATATTCAGTAGGAGAACAACTCTCAAAGCTAAAATCCACAAAGACAACAACTTTTTTATATTACATAATCAGACCATTCTGATATATGAGATGTCTGGTCCATGGTTAGACCCGGAATCTTGTCAAGCTTCACAGGATTCACCTTCCCACCCATCAATCTCGCCGGATTTCCCACTGCCGTCGTTCTCGGCGGCACGTCCTTCAGCACCACCGAGCCAGCTCCGATCTTGGCTCCGTCTCCGATCTTGATGTTCCCCAGGATACAAGTCCCTGCTCCTATCAAAACCCCATCGCCGATCCTCGGGTGACGATCACCACTCTGTTTCCCTGTTCCTCCGAGCGTCACGTTGTGGAGGATCGAGACGTTGTTTCCCACAACCGCAGTCTCTCCGATCACAACGGCGGTCGCGTGGTCCAGTAAAATCCCGCGTCCGATCTTCGCTCCCGGATGGAAATCGACGGCGAAAGCCTCCGATACTCTGTTCTGAATCAGCAAAGCCAAGATTTTCCGGTTTTGGGACCAGAGCTTGTGAGCGATCCGATGCGCTTGGCATGCGAGAAAACCCTTGAAGGTGAGGAAACAATGGACGTAGCTTATGCAGGCTGGATCTCGTTCCTTGACCGCCAAAAGGTCATACTTCACGGATTCCACGATATCGGGGTCTTCTTCAAGAACGCTGAAGAACAGATCGAAGAGCGTGTTGCTGGGTAAATTCGAATTGCTGAGTTTAATGGAGAGGATATTCGCCAACGCGGTCTCCAGAGATCGATGAGAAAGAATCGAAGCGTAATAGTAGCTCGACAAAATGGGTTCCCGCTCGACGTCGGATTTCGCTTCTTCTTGCATCTTCGTCCAGACATGGTCGATTCCGGTGTCAACGTCGAGATCGTCGACGAGGGGGCGAGTGTGGAGGGTTTTCGTCTGGTTCCCGTTGATGGGCACTTGGGAAATCCGATCCGAGAAACTGGGTCGGTAGAAATTCAGGTACCGGAACCCAGAATCATCGTCCTGAGGCCTGTTGGGATGGCGAGAAAGCTGGGGTTTCCCAGTTCTTGCCGTGTCGATGCACGCCGCCATGGGAGCAGAGGAGGTTTGGAGACTATTGTTGGAAGGAGAAGAGTTGAGCGACGCGATTAGAGGGAGAGAAGAGGGAGGGAGAAGGCCATGCTTTTGCTGAGAAGACCAACGGAGCTTATATAGGGAGAGGGAGAAATGGCGGCGACCTGCGACCGGGAACATGGGAATGAAATTTTCTCGGGAAAAAAGTTTTTTTCTTTTAAAATACTGATGGAAAATGGGAGAGGTAAAGAAGATGTACACATCACTACTATATACACATCATTTATAAGGGCTCTCTCACTCCCCTCATGGGCTAAAAATAGTTTAACGAGCAATCATTGATATAACAACGTATTATTTTTTCACTCGAAAACAAATATTTTATATTATCGTTTTTTTTTTGTATTTTGAACCAACTACTTCTAAGTTCTAACACGAATCTAAAAGTAATTTTATTATAATTAAATTATATCATTCTTCTTTAATCCACCTACTTCTAAGGTGTGAGAAAAACTTGAATCAAATGGAATAGTGGATAAATTAAATTACATTAGATAACATGTAACGTGGTTATTGATGTGTGTGCGTTTAGGGATACATTGGGAAAGAGAAGATGCTCCTTCACATGTTTTTGGTGCCACCTACTTTTTGTTCCTCCTTTTATTTAGACATGTTTTCATTTTATTTGTACCAAAACAATCAACAATGGATGATCTCAACAGTCTCATGTTACCCAACATATGTATATACACACACACTCTCTTAGTCGGTGGTCCAATATCATCTAGAGTAAGAGAATGCTTCTTTCCTGTTACTGTATAAAAAAAATGTGATCTTATGGTAAAATATACATTTTAAGGCCCTTCGGGGCCAGATCAGGTGATAGGGAGCAGGAGGCAACTCCTTGAGGTGGGGGATCGAATCCTGCCGTCTCCTTTTCTCTGACATGTTCGCATGTCAACCTATCATAATGAGTTGATTTATCTCCTACGTGTGTGTTGTAGGCTCGTGTGTGTGGGCTTGGGGTTTGATCCGCATGCGCCTAAACCCAACTACGACCCGAACGTTAGGCGCACCTGGTGGCCAGGTCCGGTGGGAGACTGTTAGGCGCTGGTGATAGCCAATTCGTCTCCGTTTGTACGGGTAGGTAGTCACGGAGTTTCCCAATATATATAAAAAAAAAAAGGGTACAAAACATATACATATATTTGTTTGCCTGAGCAAACCGTGACGCAGCAGCAGCAGCCTCATGTGTGGTGGCCTTTGACTTTGACTCCCCAAAATCCCAATTCCAGTGGTAAAGACTAAAGAATATCTAATCGATTACTACTTGGAATTTTCAACTAGGACCGTCTTTACTGACTTTTTATTGACACTGATATTATTAGCTACTATTTTTAAAATTTGATGAGATAATATAAGACGTTACAAAAATGTTACAAGTCACCATCATTAAGCCAAATTAGAGAGAGAGAGAGATGCAATTAAATTTATTATTAATGGCATCAAAAGAATATCGATAACAAGACAACAATCAAAATTGTGTGAACCATCGAAGGGCACATCAAATGCCACGCTTTGGGGGCCCTCCAATTTCGTTGGTATACATTTTACGAGATCCAGAAATTACTTTATACTATAAAAGAAAATTTAAAAATATAAAGGTTCTTTCTCTCGGGTATTTCAATTTCAGCCATTGAAAATTTCTGACCCTTCAAGTTCCTAGAGAGCATTTATTTGCTCATTCCTTTTCCTCACTATTCCAATACATAAAATCTCTTTCATCTTCAAACAAATATTTTTGAAAAATAAAACAAACTCCAACAAAAATAATTTCCAAAGGAAAAAGAATATTAGTTGTTTTAGATGATTTCACATTTTTTAAGAAAACAAAGAAAATGTCACATATACAATCGTTTTATTATTAGGAACGTTTGTGGGCGATATTTTAACCATACCACTGACATGACAAGACGCACTTTCTAGATTGCAAATTTATTCGAATGATTTTTTGGAAGAAATAAAAAGATAAAATGGATGGTGCCACAAGACTTGTTATCGTTCTTTTTCTTTGTCTGTCCTAAACGAATATTAGTCACACCAATATCTTAAAAGCATATGGCATGAGGGTTTTAATATTCTCCACACTTGTTTCTTTTTTGTTAAATATCATAATATTATACAAATGTTCCGGCCAACCCACACACACAAAGAGCCAAACGGCTTCTAAGGAAAAAGATTCAAGCTTTGATAGGAGCTGTGGCTCACTCGCATCTTGGTAGATACCAGGGTTCCATTTCGGCTTACCAGTGCAGTTGATCTGAAACAGTTTCTGTTCATGCGGTGAGTCCTATGGGGGGACGATCATACGTTGCTGAGAAAGGAAATAACAAAACTTGGTCAGAGCTGAATATGGAAAGACGCAGAAGCATCTTAACAACACCTGGTGAAGAAGCTCAGTGAACAGATAGGTAGAAACTCAACTAGAGATAATGGAGTTTACATGCTCAGCAAAGACAGAGAGATATACACATATTATATTTTGCAAATCCAAGTAAAGAGATTACCTGTGCCTTCAGAGCTTCACCTCAACATCTACTCCAGCAGGAAGATCAAGTTGCATCAAAGAATCGATCGTTTGGGCTGTAGGGTGCAGAATGTCGATCAAGCGCTGATGGGTCCTGATTTCAAAATGGAACCTTGCGTCCTTGTGGACGTGCGGGGACTTGAGAACACAGTAGATACGTTTCTTGGTCGGTAATGGCACCGGACCCATTGTCTTTGCGTTGGTATTTCTTGCCGACTCGAGTATCTGCTTGCATGAGTCCTCGATGAGAGGCACCCAGTAAGACCTAAGCTTGATCCTAATCTTTTGCTTTGGCGCCATCTGCCAACGAGATCCGTCATCTTAAAGAGATGCAATTTCCGCTGAATAGAAGCCTTGAAACAAAACTCTACTAGCACAAACTCATGTTTCACCCATAAACAAAGGAATATTGGCAATGCATCATAAAATACCAAAAGATAACAGTAATTCAGACAAATCTTAGAGCCTTCCCGAGTAAAATATTCCTCAAGGCTTACACTAATCTCTACCGTTATCTGGTAACAGTTGTTCCCAACTGTACAAGAATATACTAAGAAAATGGTAAAGGACATCACTTCAGGAGGATAGCAAACTTCCTAAGGCTAAAACAATATAGCAAACCAGAAATAGAAGTTCCCCAACAGAGTGACATTCGAGTACTGTTGCAGCTTGTCAGGATATATATGTGGTGAGTAGAATCTGGTGAAAGGCAACCAATTCATTTCATGGAGTACCTTATCCACATCTGCACTGATCGAAGGAACGCTTGGAGCCTGAATTCGCACGAGAAACAATGGACAAATCAGAAAAAGAAAATGAGTGTTCACCAAGCGTAACCTTTGCATTTCGATTAAGCTCATGTGGGAGCCGAATTTACCAAAAGAGAGGAAAAGGTGAGAAATTTGTCTCAGTAGCCAAACAGAAAGTCCCGCATTTTTCAATACGCGAAGATTCCAGCAACGACAGAGAGCGAAATGTGTACCTCGGAGTCATGGGAACCGGATTCTTCGAGGATTTCAGGAGCTGGGTCGAGGGCTTGAGGAGCAGCGAAGACCCTTGACGACGAGGAGGGTATAAGGACGCAGGAACCGAAGCCGCCATGGATAGAAGAGGAAAGCAAGGAGAAGGGAGAGATCTTTTGTTTAGAGTTAGAAGCAGAAGAAGTTGGGATTACGAGAGAGGGCAAAAGGATAGAGGATACAGAAGAAACCGCCATGGACGAAAGGATCACTCTGTTCTTCAGTTCAGGAGAGAGTTATCCAAAAAAAACCAAAATGTATTATTATTTAAAACCCATATAGCATAAAAGCCCATACCAAATTATACCCATTGGGCTGTAGAACTAAATTATATATTTTAGGCCTTTAAAATAACAGTATTATATTACGAGCTCGGCAGGTTTATTATAACTATATTATGTATAGTATATGTAATAATATAGTTGACTTCGGAGATGAACCAAAACACGGAGACAAAAATGCAACAAAACCGATGGAAAATTCTGAATCCCATTTCGGAGATGATTCGAAGTATCTTAGCCCAAGCGACGGAGGAACAAAACAAAACTTCGTCTCTCTCCATCAAAATGCTCTATACACACAGAAACAGCCTTTCTTACCTGTTCGTCCTTCAACGCCTCCAGAATCGGCCTTGCCCACGTTGTTCTTGCATCCGCCTGCTCATCATCATCCGTCATCAACCAAACCATACATCCATTATCATTCACAAGATTTGCGAGAATCACCTTTGATACTCTCGTGAACGCTCTCGGAATTCTTTTGCTACATCTCTTCTCTCGTAAGACGTTAGGACCGTTCTGATGTCTGCTGGGCTGTTACGGGCCACATCTGCATTGTTCACCAAACCCAATCTGTCAACACACACTTCCATTCTAAAACAACTCCCACCATTAATAAAATAATACACTTACATTCGAGGAATGGAATGAGGTCTAGCAGGGCCGTGTCGTCCTGTTCAAGCTTGTAAGGCTTGATCGGCACGCAATTCTCCGGCTGAAGGCTTGTCTCAAATGCATTCCCGCTAACATAAAGAATCTTCTTAGGATCTCTGTTCAGCTTCGACAGGTCCTGCATATGAGAGCTACAAACTGTTGAGTCCCAGAGTTTTTGGTGGAAGATATAAGTACATAAAACCAATTGAGGCATACTCTATAGTGCTTTCCGTTCTCATATTTTGTAGCACCCTTTGCAAGCCGATAACGTATGTACTGATTCGGGTCCAATCTTTCACAGACTGGAGCTACATACTACAAGACAGAAATAACAAAGAGTTAAAATTCAATTTCTTCTCGTGGAGCATAAGCAAAGACTATATGAAAATACAAACAGCATACCATATCCATCTGATCGGAGTACACGACGATCTCATAGTACTTGGCAAGATGTTCCAGGAAAGCATCAACACCAGGTCTTTTGAATGTCCTCCACCCTCTGTCACGCTTTACATAGCCCAAGGAAGAGAAAATCATAGATAATCTTGCTTCAATGATAAATCAGTTTAAGGACACTCTATTCCTTGACCTGGATTCTCAGAGCCATCGGATATTTATTGAACTCAGCCAGTTACAGCATGCGTTGTGAATATTCTAGGGCTTAAAAAAACAACCACGTGTCAAAATCAATATGATCATCACCTTCCAGTCTGTATAAAGCAGCGTCTCATTTAAATCAAGAACAAGAGTGAAGACATGTTGTTCCGCAGGATGCAAATCTGGAAGAAGCTTCTCCGAGAGAGGTTCAGTAAATTCCTACAGTAAAAGCCAGAGAAGATAAGAATTCTGAAAAGGTATCAAAAGATGATTAGAAATCATGAACTTAGACTATGCTCTGAGTCAGCTAAAGGCTTACTCGAACATGTTCTTCCACAAGTGCCCTCAGCTCTAAATACATTTCAATTGCTTTTGCCGGAACTGAACAAGATACAAGAAAAAACAAGAAATCTAAAGTTTAGCAGACAGTAGCTGCCTGCAGATGCAGACTAGTAGAAGCAGAGAAGCGCTGAAGGTCATACCTGCCATTGCAGCTGAATAGAGAAAAGCTTGATACTTCTGCACAAAAATAGTGCATGTAGAACCTTTTAATTCATACAACATTACAACCACAAAAGTGATCTTTTAAGCGAAACAAATCGTAGGTTTTATAAGTTTTGAGACTAAATAGCACTGCAGTGAAACGATCTTTCCACACATAGATAACAACCAGATGAAATAAGTGTAATATAATGCAAATGGAAACATGAAGATATGATAGTAGAACAGTCAACTAGATAGCACACCAGTGAAACGATACTCGCATTAGAGCTTCTTCACAAAATTAAACACAAAGGACAGACCGATCACATCAACCAAATCCTTTCGTTATGGAAGCAATAAAGGAGAGACCAAATCTCAGAAACAGGGATCAACTGAACTCACATCAATGGGCGAGGCATCATCTGCTGGCTCCCTCTTCACTGACTCGCGGAAAGCCTTGGCCTTTTCATCAACTTCATTCAAAGAGTAAGCTGCCACACAAAGACACAACATTCATATAAACAGAACCAAGGTTATCAACCTCGGTAACAACTCGCCGGTAAGCCGTACAAAAATTGTTTCACGTCTCAACTAAATGTAACTAAGAATAATACAGAACCGACTCTGAAAGAATTAAAACACAAGTACCTGAAGACAGAACTCGGAAAAACAAATGCCGACGCCATTATCATACCACATTCGCATCCCTCACATTTCCAGAAGAATAATATAGACATACGAAATCAAGATTCGAGGGCAAGGCAAAACAAGAACAAACCATATGTGACGTAACCAGCAGCAGCAGTAACACCAGTGAGCGCGCTGACGACTCCGTACGTGAGATACTTAAGTAATTTCCGCTCCTTAACCGGAGCCGCCGCCGCCGCCGCCGCGTCCGGTTGAGGCGGAGGTAGATCGGAGATGATCGACTGACCGGCGGAGATTCCCGGCTCCTTAACCGGGGAATTTGATGAAGCTGCTTCCGAAGAGAAGATCCTCAGATTCCGGGACCCAAATTTTGCTAATCTCGAGATGAAGCGGGATCGAAGAACGATCGACGCCATTTCCTCCTCTTGTTTGATCCGTGGGGTTGAAGACTTAGGCTGGGTTTTGACGAAAGAGATAACGAAAAAGGAAATAATAAGGCTCTGTTTGGAAACAGGGATACGAACTCTTTTAAAGAGTCCAGTTTACTGTTTGGAAGGCGGTTTAGGTCAGTTCTAGCAATCACTAATCTCCTTGATTTCATAAAAGGTCTGACTGATGGGCTTTTAAGGCATATTATTTTGTTCTGATTCTTTATTAATGGGCCTTTATTGGATATCTTAATCAGACCCATGGGTTTTTTTAATCGCAGCTTTTTTTTGGGCAAGTTTTTCTTATTAGCAAGGATAATATTATTATTTAGAAAATGAAATTATAATAAAGTTACTAGTTTAAAAAACGATTAAGATTTCGTCTTTATTAAAATGGAAGAGATATCATTTTAAACTAAGAGAAAAATATATAACATATATGGTTAGAACTTAAAAAGCACGCTTAGAAGGTACTAATCAGACCATGATTTATATAATTTTCAAATTGGATCATTCTAAACTCATACATCATCCATGGGAGAAATTAAAAATATGGTATTTAAGATTTTAATGTTGTATATCTTAATCAAACGTACTAAAATTGGAGAATATCTTGATAGAAGCAAACTTCTAGAGGAACAAAAAATATAGAAACCTAATCTTTTTAATTAACTTTAAAGTTTTTCTTTTAGATATGGGCAAGAAATATATATATATATATATCTTCTAGAAAATCCCAAAAACAAATCCCTCCAAGATTAGCTTGTTGACATCTTGAAATGTAGGTACATATATTTATCATTCCAAGTTTGAGTCTTTATCAATGGTTGAGCGTGTGTGTGTGAGTGTGTGTCTACCATGTGAGAATTGAATCATTAAATGTTGAAGTTTGTTTGTGTAAATTATTTGGGTATTAAAATATATTAAAAATGTAAACATCATAATCACAATAAATGCAGAAATACAATACAGCATGGTCATGATTGGAAAATAATCATACATGGAACCAAATATTGCCATGCACTTTGGGAGGGTATTTTGGGAAATTAACTCAGGCACCACAATCATAAAGAAAATACCATATAGTTAGCTCCTCTATAAATGCCATTGGAAAGCTTCGCGGATTCACTTCACATGCTCACATCCTCCTCCTTCGAAAGCAAACACAAGCAGCTGAGATGGATCAGAGGGCCGTGGAATCTCGGATCATGAAGAAGCTGACGAAGTTGGCAGTGTTTTCGATATGGGTTTTGTCTGTTTTATTCTCGAGCATACTCGTCACTCACACAATTGACAAGAACTACGTGTTCTTGTTTTGCAATGGGCTCCTGGCCTTCGTTGTGAGGCACTCCGGCCTCATCAATTCTAAAGAAAGCTCTGGCAAATTCCATCAAAACAGAGCTTCCGAGAGTTACAACGATGAGTTCGAACAGATGGAACAGACGCAGGAAGTCACGGAGACGGCGTCGGATAATGGGGAAGAGCCTGCAAAAGATATCTATGTGGTTCAAGAAGATCGCAACAGAGGAAATGGCGATGGAGAAGAACAGCGCACAGAAGAAGAAGAAGGAGAAGAAACAGAAGACCAAGAAGAAGAAGATGATTGTGATGATTCTTGTGGAGGATTCGGAGAAGAAGAGGAGGAGGATGGGGAAGAAAACGAGAGAGCGATGAAGGTGGAGGAGCTGAACAAGAAGTTCGAAGAGTTCATCAGAAAGATGAAGGAAGAGCTGAGGATCGAAGCTCGTAGACACTTAATCCTTGTCTAATCCTAGTGTTTAGTTTTGATTGTTCCTAATTAATTAGTCTCCCTCGGCCCATGTATACATAAATATAAAGCTCCCATTAAATAACGGGGTTTATATATATATATATATATAACATTCATATAAACAGAACCAAGGTTATCAACCTCGGTAACAACTCGCCGGTAAGCCGTACAAAAATTGTTTCACGTCTCAACTAAATGTAACTAAGAATAATACAGAACCGACTCTGAAAGAATTAAAACACAAGTACCTGAAGACAGAACTCGGAAAAACAAATGCCGACGCCATTATCATACCACATTCGCATCCCTCACATTTCCAGAAGAATAATATAGACATACGAAATCAAGATTCGAGGGCAAGGCAAAACAAGTATATATATATATATATATATATCCTATGTATATATTGCATGATACGATTCTACTCCAATCATGTTAAAGTGACAAACATGATTAAGAGAATCTAAAATGTGTTATCATGGAACCAAGAGCGACTGGTTCAACTAGTAAGTGAGTATACGTAAAGAGTGTTCCAAGTTCGAACCTTACCCTGACAAATCACATATTATCAAAAACAAATGTGTTATCATGGAATATATGCAAACAGAGAAACCCAATTTAATTCAAAAATCATTTTTATTGGAAATTATCAACACAATAACAACTACAAAACAATGGGTGACAAAAAGAACCCTCGGATTAGTCTATATTTAAATATTTGAATTAGGGGGGCTACATGGTTATTAGCCCACTTTTTACAAGTTTGGATAGTCTTTATTTTTATTTATCAATGAATATAAGAAGTTCATGGGTTGACTTCGATATTGATCGATCCAGGATTAATTACGAACCTTTCTTTCGCATTTAATTAGAATTCTTAAATTTATCTTAGAATAATAGGGAATGATAGCGAGGCCATGCACGAACTCAAGATGTCAAATCATGCACATGCATTCATTATCAGCTTTTTAATTAATACTTAATCTAGGGTTAAAAGAGACATAATCATGTGGAAAAAAAGATTATCTGATTGATTAATTGCGTTGTTCTTATAACTTGAGACATGGAGGGCCCTCGTGGAAAATGAACTTCTGAGGGTTAATTAGGCCGGTGGTGAAACCCAACAAATGTAAGCTCCGCAACGCACCAACAATAAATAACTATAGCTTATATATATATGTATATATCCTCGCAAATGAACTGTTTCTATGCATTATTGAATATGTTGATTAAGATTGATGTATTAAAGTCTATGATTTATATCATTAATTTTGCTCATGTGTGTACGTTTATACGATGGTTAATTTGTGTTAAAACTTTGAATGTATTTTACTATTTCAACTCTAACAATAAACAACAGAAAAACATTATATAACATAAATTTAATATATCCTAATTAACAAAAAAATAATTAATCACTTTTATCCGTATATATGCAACATGAGAGTTCCATCGATAGAGGCTTTCCAAAATAGCATTGAAGAGAATCAAAACCTAAACAGGATATATTATAAGGTTTACACGGGATTAGGTTAAATTAATGAATATATACTTTACAATGCATAGTGATGTTTTGGAGGCATTAATTGCATTAATTATGTTAATTAGATGTTGACATAAGCTTAGGGTCAAAAAGATGAATATATACATATATATATACACACACACAAGGGCATTGTGAATGGGCATATGATATGATCGTCCCCTCCTCTATACAATAGGTGCAATATGGGAATATTTATCAAACCAAAAAAGTATATAATTGCTTTTGATATCTCTTTAGATTCTCTCCTCACTTTTTTAGACCTTTCAAGGTGTAATTACCATCATACCACTCCTACGTTCAATTGAACACATGAAGATATTTCAAAAACCAATTATTATTTCTATATATTAATTTCTCACACTGCATCTAAATTTTCATCCGATTAAGTTTATTCGTTGTGAATTACAACAAACACATAGTAAATCTCAAAGTTAAGTTACAACAAACACATAGTAAATAATTAAAACACATAGTAAATCCCAAAGTTGAAAGCATGACACATCAAATGAGGTAAAACAAACATGGATATGGTGAGAGAGGGGTCTAGAAAGACCCATAACTTGCGTGTGTGGGGACCCTCGCAAATGGCTCGAATATATGCCTATCTTCATGTTCAAGTAAATATGTTGGCCTATATATTTGTAACCTTTTCTCTATCCAAAATTCATATATTTATATTGTAAAGACATATGAAATATCTCAATTTGGTTGGTCCAATAACAATGTATCCAAGGGAATATGATTGTGGTATATGCAAATGCATGCCATTCCAATATCCACCAATCCATATGCTATGCTATTGGTTTTTATATCAAGTTTGTACGTATAACAAGAAAGACCCATCTAAAAATAGTTTCATATGCGACTAAGTATACAAATTAATCGATGGAAAACACATAAAGAAGCTTAGATCAATCATGGAGGTATGTACGTACGATTAAAATACAATCATGCAGTTCGAGAAGAAACAGGGAACTCAATCAACAATCATATAAAAGTACACGCACTTGGGGGCCATTCAAAGAGACGATCGATCGAGTGTATGCATAGAAACGTACAAAATCACTTTTCCAATGCATTGTCATCTCATCCATAATCATGCATACGTATTTCATCGTCGGCCCCAAATATAAGATGCCGACAACACCCCCTTCCTTTGCAATGTTATAGATTTCTCACTCTTTGACCCATCCTTGGGCCTTTCTATCAGCGTTTTTGTTATCAATTGAATATTTTTATGGTTACATATTAATTATGTTTTACATATTCCGCAACGGACGAGTTTGCTAGACCATTAAACCCCGAAATTTCGTGAAAATTAAAAAAGGGTTATAGAACGGTAATGTTTAATATATATATATATATATATATATATATATATAAACAACCTGAGGTCGTCGTCAAACAAAGGACTACCACAAAAGGCAAAGAATGTGAAGTCCTTATCGAATTGGATGAATGTTGAGTACATGACATTGTACGGTGACGGTGACGCCAATGGCATTGTTTGATTGTATCTGTACGTGTATTTATTTACATCTTCTAGATATTTTTTTGTTGGTTTATTTATTTTGGCTTGATTGAAAGGTAAGTGTTTAGTTAGAATTGTTTGAATGAGTGGAAATGGTTTTGATGCCACATGAATTTGGATGGAGGGTTAGCCTTCTAGTGTTTTATTTGATTGAGAGTATTTATGGGTCCGATAGTTACGTGTCGAATGTGAAAATATTTGCATTAATTCATGGACCGAAAAACGACACGTCGACAACTCCATGCGCCGCAGTGTTACGATGGCTTTGGTCTGTTCCTTGAAACATTTACATAGTGGCGAGATTAATTATTGTTTTTTTTATAATTATAATTATAACGCTTTATGTGTAAGAACGAAACCAATTTACATACACAAGTAGCAATTCACGCCAAAACACAAAACTCAGAATTGATTCTTATTTATGCCTAAGAGAGTTCAAAAATACATCCATGTCTATACATATATTGTTTATTTTATATATTAGTATTATACACCCAGAGAGTTTCGTTAAAACTAGGGTTTAGATGATCGTGCAAGAAAACAGCGAATAGATATAACAAAAACATTGCATAGAGAAAAGTAAATCATGAGAAGCTTCGAGTCATCCTCCAACTCCCCTTTTGACCCAAAAAAAAAGGAAGAAAGAAGGATGTCCCTGCTAATTACAGAGATGCAGGAAATATATCATATCCCATACCAACCCTGGGTCTCCATGTTAAGGTAACTGTGGAACGGCCGAGGCGGAGGCGGAGGCAGCGTGGGGAGAGGCGGAGCTGTGTGCTGACTCACCCTCCACCGCCCCGGATGAGGAGGAGGGTACGTGTAGTAATTTCCGGCCATAGACACCGGAGGAGGACCGTACGGATGGTAGTAGCCGGTCTGACAGTTGCAGTACCCCCCGCCTCCGACTGCGATGACTTCCCCTTCGAAACGGAGGTTTTTGACTCTGCCGTGCTCGCGGTAACGCTCAAGTACCGTGAGCATCACGTTAGGGTTTACTCTTCCCTTGAGCTTCACGGTACCGTCGTCTCCCAAGAAGTCCACCGAATAAAGCCCTGTTTCATCCATACTTCAAGCTATTCAAAGAAACGAAAACATAACCATGATTCTTTTTTTAATACACACACACACACACACACACATCGAATAGCCATGAGAATCGAATCTTAACCATGGAGACAATGCAGGACTTCACTGACTTTTTGATCACAAACTTTGCATCCTCTGTGCATTTTCATCTCACAGCTCTGCAACCATTACAACGCCCCACGAATCAATTAATTGCAAGAAGAAGAAAAAACCCTCCATAACCATATTCACGTATAATCTGTGTTGTGCTCACCATGTCGACCGTGTACTCCATCGGGAGAGCATTACCTTTCCGCAACTTTCACCAGAGAAGATTTAAGACTTTGATGGGTTGCTTCTAATCAAGGCATTGTTTTTATTATTTAAGATTGGACCAATAAACAAATATTGTCTTGCCTTAAACGACATCCTAATTTTGTTCATCTGTCATGGAAAATCAGAAAGAAAAAGATCTTTACATATCCATGCAAAATTGCAAATATTTAATGAAAAAACATTGCGGAAATCACAATGTATCGAATATTCGCAGTGATATGATATTATCTTATACCATACATAGACTACTCGAGAAGGGTAAAGAGTAGTGATAACGCCGCATATGTCTGCAACATATCAGAAGCAACAAAGGCAAGAAGAAATGATTCATACATTAACCCAAAAACAATCAGTAGATGACAAAATCTACCATAAAATTTCATCCGCATTTGTCAATGGTTAGGCAAATTCCACAGAGACAGAGAAACCAAACAAAAGGATATCATAAATGCCAAGGAAATGTAGTGATTGAGATTGCAAAAAGGGGTAAAAAAGAGTGCATTTCTAAACATGATCGCCATTGAGCTCACTTTTTATTAATCGGCAAGTCTGAGATGTACCGGAAGTAGCCCTGCAGCTTGCTCTTCTTCACAAGCTCCATGGCCTCATCAACCTTCCCTTGATCAACCAAACCCTGAATCGCCGGCTTGAACATATCCGGCCGAGAAAGAATCTTTCTCTTAATGGCCTCTTTACTCACCTCAGTGGCTCTATCAAGGTCGCCCTTCTGGCAAAGAAACGGAATAATTAAGCAGTATGTCACGGCGTCAGGTCTATGGCCTTTCTCCTTCAGCTCCTCATAACATCTCATCACCTCCTCCACGTTGTCATCACCACGGTATGCTGAAATCAAAGCATTGTAAGTATGAATATCAGGGGAGATCCCTTTGCCTCTCATCTCGTCTACCAGGCTAACTGCATCTGGAATCTTCTTGTTCTTGACCAATCCTCTCACCCTCGAGTTATAACTCCTAATGTTAGGAACAAGACTCCTACTTTCCATCAAATCCCAAAGCTTGTCTCCCTCTGAAATCCAACCCTTGCTATAAAATGCTTCGAACATAGTGTTGAAAGTGATAAGATCAGGCTCGAACCCGTTTGTCTCCAGCTCCTCAAAAATAGATAATACATCACTCGAAGAGCCTTTACGGCAAAAGGCCTTGATCATGGTGTTGTACGAGACCAAATCCGGAGTTATCCCCAGCTTCTCCGGAAACTCTCTCAACACCTTCATGGCCTCATCGTACTTCCTAGAGTTTACATAGGCCGACAGAAGCGCATTGAACGATTTGATGGTTCGTTCACAGTTTAGCTCAGGCATTTCATCGAACAACTTGTGGGCTTGATCCGCCATTCCTGAGTACCCATAAAGGAGCATCATCCGAATAACAAAATCCTCGGACTTTATGTCTTCGAACTTCTTCTGATACTGCAAAGCTTCGTCGATCATCGAGAATTTCCTCTCGCCTTTGAGGCGGCGGACAAACGCTGAGTAGATCCCATGAACTTGCCTGAAATCATCGGACTCGCAGGACTTTTTGAATTTCTCTAATTGCTTCCTTAGTGTCTTCTCCTTGGCATCAATGGAAGATTTGCCGCTGTCGCCGGCGGCGGCGGCGGAGGCGGGAGAAGCGGAGGGTTCCTTCGGTTTTCCAACAAGATTTCTGGGCTTGCTTCGGTTCGGACTTCGAGCGGGCTTGAGAGTCGCTGTCGGAGATGAGTTGAAGATTCCATGGAGGCGACTGTACAGCGATGAGCTCGACTTGCTCATGGTTTCGACAAAGATGAAATGAGGATGAACACGACCGTGAGCCCGTAGGGTTTTAAGGAGGTTTCCCAACTTCCATCGTTCTGATGTAGAGCGTTGTTTTAATAAAACAAGAGCGCACTGCACGTCGTTTTGCTTTGCCTCGTTTTCCTTCCTCTGAGCGATATCTGCTTAACTGCGTGCCGTTCAGTGCTACATTTTTGTATTTTAATGGAGAATACACGTCGTTTCTCTCGACTATGCTAATTTCGGACTGCGACTGCGTGGTGGGCTTCTAACCCAAAAAAACCGAAATAATAACGTAAAAAAGGAAAATTGAAATTACTTTGTAAAGATAACTCCATAAATAAACCTCGTAGTCGAATGTATTTTGGAATTTCATGTAAAAGCATAATGTAATTATAGTGATGGGCCTTTTAGAGGTCCATCAGAGGCCCAAAAGTATTGGATCGATGAGATGGGTCAATACGGAGATACATGTGATTTTGAGATTTTAATGCCACATTAAAAGTAGTTTTGATAACTGAACATAAATATTCATTAGTATAAAAATAGGATATTGTGGCAATCATAAATAACATCCAGCAAGGATTAGCATTTCTTAATCCAAATCAGAATAGGGTTTGGGGTGATTCCAAAACTCTATAAATAAAGCAAAGGGCCTTTGAATTTCTGTTCAAACCACAGAGGCATTCAAGAAGAGACTAAAACAGAACAAGATACTAATCGTCGGTGCCTTGAAGGTTGTTCCGTTACACACCATGGAATCGGGTGAGTCAGAATGGAGGAGGGGGAGGGGAAGAGGATGCAGAGTGGCAAAGGAAACGTGGGAGATGGAAGAGCTCGGCCTCATCAACAAGAGGGTTCCTGTCGGAGAAGTGATGGATTCAATGTCTCGCAGCGGCCTCCATCATCACATCATTCCTCTCTTACGGACCCTCTCCCTCGACCCCAACCACCTGGACCTCACCCTCCCCGTCCCCTGGCAAGCCCTCCACGACCACTTCCATTCCACCTGCCACCACTCCGACCACAACCAGTTTCATATCTTGTATCTTCCTTCTTCCCCTGTTTCATCAAAGTCGAACACTTTTGGTAATAAAAATTTGCAATTTCCAATACCCTCTCTCGGAATCTTCAGTTTAATGTATGCAATTGCAAGGAAAACGTTAGTTGCATAAACTCCTCCTCCTTCCATCCTCGTATTCCCTTTCACAAACCCTATCTGATGCATTACTATTATTATTATTATTATCAGACGCTTCTTCTTCTTCTTCTGGCCTTCTTTCTGTTTCCGCATCAGACTTTACACTTCTTGTCCCGCCATTGATACCGACAGCCTCAGCTTGTTCCGCAAACAATGTCTTCGAGATGGATGAGCTGCACACCTCCTTGTACACTTCGTAATCAGCTGCACACGTGTTTCCTCCCTCGAGCAGCTTTGAGAGAGGGTGCAGAACAGCCACAGGACCGTCGTTTTTCTGCAGTTGCTGCTTCAGTTCCAGGAAGTCCGACACGAATTCTGGGTTCTTGAACATGACGAAAACAGCAGTGTCATCCACGTGATAGATCGAGGTGACTGATGTGGGGCCAAAGACTTTGCATATGCATTCTTTGATCTCCCTTGCCTTGAGTTTCGGCTGGAAACCCCATATCAGAACCACGTTCTCGTATTTGATCTTGGAGAATCGTTTGGGGACGCTGTTAATCAGCCGATGCTCTGCAGTTGTCTGGCCCGTGCTTAGGTCGATGATATCGCCATTTGTCCAACTAAGATAGAGACGGTTGATGTAGTTCTGTAGAGTTTCGTTCTGGGCCAAGCGTTGACCTCCGAAATCCACTCCTAGATGACTGCATGCCTGCGCAAATATGCAACCCGTCATGAATGCATCGTACCCAGCTTCATGCTTTGCTCCAGAACTCCAGTTAGAATACCTGAAATTGTTATCAAAATATCAGAACGGAGAATACTTTTGTGGGAAGAAAACGTATTAGCCTGAGGATATGCACATATACATGAATGTCTAACCGATAAATCAATAACGGAATGTCCTATAGGGGAGAAGGAGGGCTTACCTGACATTGTCCACTTCAACCTCGATTCTGACTCGTTGCTGGGAAACCAAGTCAGAGCCTATTGAAGCGAAAGAAAATGCGGTTTGTGGACATAACAAAGAAAACGCAGAGGACAAAGAAGTGCTGCATTTCTTCATTTTCAGGTGCAGCATTTGATTCACATTCAAGAGTACTTTAGTGTCAATTATGTGAGGGAAGCACTCATTGATCGAGGATACAAATTCCTCAGCAGTCGAAGGAAGAGGACCCACGAATTTGTTGTATACATGTGCAATATCTGTGTGAGACGATACCAACTGTTAGAATCTACGGGTACTTTTGGCATATACACTTTCATGGGAGCTAAAGAAAGAAACTGGCAGTACCTAGGAAACAATTGTGACCAACAATCAACTTTGGCTCTGAAGAAAGAAGGTCAATCACATGCCGAAAACCAATAGCAGATTTTATCTTTCCTTCTACCACTTTCTTTCGTTCATCCTTTGCCTCTTTCTGTCAAAGACATATATAATGGTACTCTGAGTTAGACGCCATACTATCTGATATAAGGACTCTCTCCCAAAGATCTGCGGGCACACTAACCAATTTAAAAGACAAGTGATATCTACACATGTATTGACCAGTTAAGGCAGCTTGGTACCTTACCATGAGATTTTCCTTGTCCGATTCTGAATCACTAAACACAACAAAATCTTGAGAACAGGAGTTTTCATTATCCATATGTATGTAAACAAGATCACCAAAATGCTTCCTTACAACCTGCACGACCAATTCCAAGAACAACGAATGAGAAACCAGTCCAGTTACAGCCAGTAGAACATGATAAACAAGGATCAAGATAAGTACAAAGAAAATTACCAATTTAATCACTCTGAGCTGATGAGAAGTGAAACCCTTCAGACTGAGAGCTGGACGCATAAAGTAGAACACGGTTTCTAGTCTCTCTGCTGAGTCATTCGAGCTCCTCAGTGACTGAGACATCGTATTTCCACCATGCAACAGCGCAGATCGCCATTCACTCAGGGTGTTCTTCATTCTTTCGGCAAAAAGAATATCCGCCATTCTTACCAGCTTTAGTTCTCTTGCTTCGACTGCTGAATCCATGTCCCCATCCTCGTATTGCATTTCCAGACGCTTAGTGGCCTCTTCCTCTTGTAGTCTGGACAAATAAGATATTCCTGAGAATGTTCAAATACGTGAATCTCTTGAAACTAGTAACCAATACTTTCACTACTCAAGCTCTTGCCAAGCTTTCTTTTTTCTCATTTTAACGAGATCAAATTTGAGCATGTAAATTCATACTGGTATATAGGCAAATATATGTGTATAGAAAAGGAAAAAGGAGAGACCTTCATGTACGCAGGCGTTGAAATCAAATTGGTACTTGGCCAGGAAATCCATGGATGTCGTTTGGCAGAGAAATTCATGAGCTGGCGGATCAAATGTGAGCTCTTGACGAGGAAATACGAAGAAATTGTGCCTGTTGAAGCGAAACCATACAGTCAGATTCATGGAAGAGCTCGCAGAACATTTCTAGACAGAGATAGAGGGAGAGAGAGAGAGACTGACGGGTAGGCGACGAAGGAGTGAGAGAGAGAGTCCCATCGGAAGGGACAGACGCCGAACTGAACGACGGCGAATTTCTCGGCGGAGTCTTTGACTTTGAGGTACCGGACGTCGAAGCGGTCGAACTCCAAGGATTCGCGCCACGGAGCACTCGTCACGCCGGTCATCTCCAGGTCGATCGCCACGAAATCCGCCGCATGAACGTGCGACCGCAGATCCGACAGCGTCGTCTCGAAGTTCGACCTCGTCACGTGCTTCAACGGAAAAGCCGCCGCCGACGCGCTCGATGTCTCCGCCGTCTCCGCCGCTGCCGGAGAGAGGGAAGAGGAGCTGAAACGGGAGCGTGCGAGAGCACGCGCGAGAGGCCTCAAAGGCCATCGCTTGTGGCGGTTCATTTCAGAGGGAGCGAGACGAACATGGTCATGGCGTATTTAGGTTTTTGGGGTTTAATGGTTTTTTTTTTGTTTCCCGGGAAAAAGACGAAGGTGATTTCCGACTACACGAAAACGACATCGTTTTCTGGCTAACTGAAAACGGCAAATCATCCTCTTTATATACCTCAAGACAACATGATGTGTTCATGTGGATCTGTGGACTCCTACCTACAGGTAAGAAACTGCACAGAGTCTATTGAAAGCTCAATGCTTTATTAGTCCTGCGTGAAAAAAGGAGGTTCCTTTAGTTTTATCAGCTGCAAATGGAACTCAAAGCCGTAGTTTTCCGTTGGAAACAGGAAAAGAGAGGAGAAAGTTTCCGACTTTTTCTGAAATTAGAGCTTTGTCACAAAGAGGAAATCTCCCTCGGTTTTCGTCAGTGGCAGGGACTGTCTATAAATCCAATTGAGACTATGCCGATTGAATAGTGCCATGGATGGATGGTTGTTCCAAGGCCGGATACCGGCGCAACACCGTTTATGAACTGAAGCCTCTGCTTCCTCGAGAGGCTTCGACCAGTTGGATACTGTTCCAGCTGTAACAAGATATTGTATATAAATACATAATGTGAAGGGAAAAAGGCCAAAAAAAGCCCTAGGGAGAAGGGGAAAAAAAAGGGACCTTTCTTCTTCCTCCGCTCCGACTGGACTACCTGATACTATGGCTTCTGCAGAAGAAGTAGCGGTCTTCGCTGAAACTAACTTGGGAACCCACATCGCCATGGCGGTTCCAGTAGATATCACAGCAGGGGATTTCAAGAGTAAGCAGAAATTCCAAAGAAAGAAAAGACCCTTTTTTCCCCATGATTTATGTCAAAATTCCTCTTTCAATTCATGGGCTTTATGCTCTTGAGTTCTCTTACGGTTAGACAGATAACGTATTATCTTATCACATTTGCTTAGTTTGTCCAGATTTTGCACATCTTCCGATGATTTCTAGGTTCATAAAGCGAGTGAAAAAGTGGGGAGATGAGTGAAAAGAAGCATGTTTTATGACGAGTTTGTGTCCTCTATAGCTAATGTTGGTAAAAAGGTTTGACCTTTGATGGTTAACATCTGCTATAGTGCTATGTTCTCTGTAATTCCTGTTTTTTGAGACTTTAGTTAGGGCTCTTTTGGTTTCCGTGTGTTGTGATTAAAGTGAATATGTAATCCCATGTTGGGATGAAGAACGATCAAATCAATCTAAGCACACTTTGCTTTCAAGTTTAATTTGAAAAGATGAAAGCTTTGCCCCTTGATTGATCATCTTGCAGTTCCTTAGCTATCACACAGAATCCTCCACTATATGATCCCTCAGGAATAGCTCTGTTTTTTTTTTTAAGTTTCTTTTTGGTGCTTTGATTTTCTGTTTTTCATTTACTTCGGGGCCTATTTGGTGCTTGGCTCCCTTTTAATAAGGGATGCATATCCGCATGGAAATGTTTTTGCAAACACATGCATAGTTGGTTTTGCCTTTGAATGGAATATGGCATTGTCATTTGTATCGCATACTTCAGGATCAGGACTTATAACTCGTCGCTTGCTCGGTTAGTAAATGTGTATCATTGTAAAAACCTTTTAGCAGGGCAGCTTGAGGAAAAAAATGCATCATTGATTTTGCCGTCCAGTTGATTATTGTACTGATCTTTTTTGTAATCCTTTGATTTTGGATATAATCCAACACCTACATCTCTTTGGTTCTTAGCTATGAGCACATACTGACTGATGTGATAGTGTTTGTGCAGGACGGCTCGAGAAAACACATGCTAGTTGCTCTCCGAGTTTAGGAGAGATACAGGTCTATGGTCTGATGGTATGGAAATGAGCAAATGATTCTATTTCCTTTTTCATAACCCTCATTTTGGTTCATTCCATTGTTTTTACTCGATTCTTTGTTTCTGCACTTCTTAACCGCTTTGGTAGGTGAAACGGAAATCGCACTTGTATTACATTCCGGAACCTATGCTATTAAAACACATCTTCCGAGATCTCCATAAGGCCTGGTTTATTTGTGTGGAGGCAAGAGCTGTAAACAGTTCAAGTGAGCAATGTGTTTCCAGTGGAATTCGTGAAGCAGTAGTTGTGAATTGCTCTGCTTCTGATCGAGCCGTCGAAGGAATACTCTGGTCAAGAAAAGACGGAGAACCAGAGGAATCTCTTGGAAAACATGTCCCAGGAGCGGATGTTTCGACTTCCGGGAGCAATGAAGCAGTCAGCTTCTCGGTTTTCGCTTCCAGAATGCTCGAATCTGAGCAAGTGTGCTTTGACAATAGAGGAGGAACTTGTGGTTTTAAGACACCTGACCCTGGAACCAAACCTCCATTGTCAATGTCAGAAGCTAAAACAGAAGGAAAGCAGCGTTGGCAGTTGGGGAAGGATCGGACAGAAAGCGAGAAGGTTAGAAAGAAACTACTTGCGGCAGCTAACAACATCAGAATGCAAGGAAAGATGCAGAAGATCCCTTCAGCAATGTCGTTTATCTGCAGAAGCAAGAGTGGAAGAAGAAGAGGAGGAAGATTTACAGGTCGTACAGTAATCGCATCTCTTGCTAAGTTTCTAGTCTTTCAGATACCAGAGACAGAGTGACGTGAACAAGAAGGGAGCTCTGGTTACCACCATAAGCATATAAGCAAGTACATGTGTAGTAGGAGAATGCGTACGGATGTGTCTTGCAGACATGCAAGTGATTCTTTGTGCAGTTTGATAAAATATTGAAATAGAGAAAGGGACACTACACAAAACGGTTCAACAAGTGTGATCATTACATCTCATAGTCTATATTGTTCTGTATAGTTTAAAACTATTTATGTATATGTATATATAGATTCTGACAGACCACTGATTTGTGGTTTTCTACGGTTAGAATTTGAATGCAACCCAAATCTCTTAGAGTGATATCCGACTTTGTTTAGATTTTGGTAATTTCAACGGCTTCCGTTTTTAGATTTTCTAGCTGATTTTTTAAGAAAAATTTTATTTTTATCTTTAATTATAAATATTTAATTTTATAGATTATTAATGAGAATATGATTTAACGAGAGTATATATGACTTTTTTATATATTTTTTAAAAACTGTAAAAATATTGTAAAATTATATATATTGTGAAACAGAGGAATAACAGTAATAATAATAGTAATATTATTAATAAAGGATGCTTGGAATTTGGAAATAAAATAATAATAATTTTCTGCGTTTAATATTTTCCGTCTTTTCGATACCTATATATCGCAGAGCTGCTTGGCTTCTTGAAATTCTTTTTCTTCTCTACTTCTTCTCTGTCTTCTCTAATCCCTCTAGTCTGTGATCCTCTTCAAATCCCTAGTTTGGGATCGTCTGAAGGCTGGATATCTCCCAGAACCGTCAATTCTTCTCCTTCTTCTCTTAGTCAGCGATTCGCTATCAGTGTATTGGACCAGATCGCCGTCGGCAATTTGATTGGCCTTTTCTCCCTTTCGCAACTGATCAGCGATCAGTCACTTCTCTATCGGTTTCTTGATCAATTCTCCGTTTTGTTGAGGGTTGATCGACGCTCAGTCGACGGTTTGCTTCGAGAGATGCTTTGTGTCTCGTCATGAAGCTCATCAGAGTGGTGAGTGCTTCTTAACCACGTAATTCGACTCTTGTTCATATGTACCTTTTCCTTGCGTTTATGCATTTGCATATACATGTATTTTTGTGTAACATTCTTGAATCTTCTAGGCGGGCGTTTAGTTTATAGTTGAATAGGGTTTAGTTCTATGCCTACTTGTTGATTGATTTTCCCCCACTCTCTCTTAGAACTAGTAGTTGTCCAAGGAACGAGAAAACTCTGAGATTATATTGAAAATAGAAGCTTTTGTTGTATGAGTTGATATGGTTTTTTTGGCCGATCTCTGAATCTATGGTGTGTTGATTGGCATCGTGTTCAGGTTTTGATTGTTTCCTTAGGTATAATTGTTGTAGAAAGGTTGCGAGATTTTGAGATTCTATGCCAAGATGCATTGGTGATGGTTGTATATTAAAATGTTGTATGTTATGTTTAACGCCTTTTTGCCATGTCTTGCTTTTAGTTTCTATTGTTATTTGATTTAAATCTTTGATGTGTATGAATCTGTTGTCTCTGATGTTCTGTTATTGCTGAGTTGCTGACCATGCTTTGCTTCATTTCCTGTCAGCCTTCCAAAATCCAATCTTTCATCAGCAGTGTTACTGCTGTTCCGCTTGAGAAAATAGAAGGGCCCCTTAGATGTTTTCGTTGGGAATTCGCTAAGGTATCTTGTATGGCATTTCCCTCATCTGGGTTTCTTTTATTATATCTATTTGCAATCTGATTTTTAATCGTTTCTCCTTCATTTAGGGTGACTTCTATCATTGGGTGGATCTCTTCAATCATTTTGATACGTTTTTTGAGAAGCACATAAAACCAAGAAAGGATTTGCATGTTGATGATAACTTTTTGGAGTCTGATCCTCTTTTCCCAAAGGAAGCTGTTCTTCAAGTCCTCCGAGTAATCAGAATAGTTTTAGAGAATTGCACAAACAAGCATTTCTATAGCTCTTATGAGGTACGTCTGTATCAAAATTCCTTGAATCTTCTGATGTCGCATAGTTGCTTTTTAACTGATTTGATAACATGCTCTAGGTTCTTATATTTATTTATATACGTCTTTTATCAATTGTTTCTGTTTGTTTCAGTACATAAGTAAAATTCTATTGCAAATATTGATTGTCTATTCACCTCCTTCTCATACTTGTTCTTCCTTCATAACTTGCAGCAGCATCTTTCCCTGCTGCTTGCATCAACGGATGCAGATGTCGTTGAAGCTTGCCTGCAGACTCTGGCTGCCCTTTTAAAGAGGCAAATTAGAAAATGCTCCGTAAGAGATGCTTCACTGAATTCAAAGCTATTTTCACTTGCCCAAGGTTGGGGGGCAAAAGAGGAGGGTCTAGGCTTAACTTCATGTGTTACGGAAACCAGCTGTGATCAGATCTCTTACCAGTTAGGTTGCACCCTTCATTTTGAGTTTTATGTGTCAAATGATTCATCAACTGAACTTCGTGGAGGTCTACAAATTATCCATGTACCTGATGTCAACTTGCATTCAGGATCTGATCTGGAACTTTTGAACAAGTTAGTTTCTGACTACAGTGTTCCTTCCAGTTTAAGATTCTCTCTGTTGACCAGATTAAGGTTTGCTAGGGCGTTCTCGTCTTTGGCGTCACGGCAGCAGTATATGTGCATACGCTTGTACGCTTTCATTGTTCTTGTTCAGTCAAGAGGTGATACCGACAACAATGCTGTTTCGTTCTTTAATTGCGATCCAGAGTTTGTCAATGAGTTAGTTACACTATTAGGCTATGAGGATACTGTTCCAGAGAAAATAAAGATATTATGCTTGTGTGCCTTGGTTGCACTGTCGCATGACCGGACTCATATGCCAACTGTTTTAACTGCAGTTGCCTCGGGCGGAAATAGTGGCTTGCTATCTAGCCTCTTGCAGAAAACTATTGATTCTGTTGCTCATAATACTTCTAAGTGGTCTCTGGCTTTTGCAGAGGCCTTTCTATCCTTTGTAACAGTTTTGGTTTCGTCATCGTCCGGGTGCTCAGCCATGCGAGAGGCTGGACTTATTCCTACCCTAGTGTCTCTAATCAAAGATACAGATCCTCAGCATCTGCTTTTGGTCTGTACAGCTGTTCACATATTAGAAGCCTTCATGGACTACAACAATCCAGCTGCTGCTTTGTTCAGGGATTTGGGTGGCTTAGATGATACTATCTCTCGATTGAAACTGGAAGTATCTCGTACAGAAGGTGATTTAGAAGAAAATGGTGGCGGCTTGGTGGGCAGTGAAAGCGGTTCACAAGTTTTTACTGGTTCTCTTGTTGGGCTAGATACTGAACAGCTTCCCTACTCTGACGCGTTAATTTCATACCACAGGAGATTGCTGTTGAAAGCCTTGTTACGTGCCATATCTCTTGGAGCTTATGCACCTGGGAACACTACTCGCATCTATGGTTCCGAGGAGAATTTTCTGCCTGAGTGCTTATGTAATATATTTCGGAGGGCGAAAGATTTTGGTGGTGGTGTATTCTCACTTGCGGCGACTGTCATGAGTGATCTTATTCACAAAGATCCTACAAGTTTTAACACTTTAGATTCAGTTGGTTTAACTTCCGCCTTTCTTGATGCTATATTGGATGGGGTCATCTGCTCTGCAGAAGCGATAATATGCATTCCTCAGAGTCTTGATGCATTGTGCCTCAACAATAGCAGCCTTCAGGCTGTAAAGGACCGTAATGCCTTGAGATGTTTTGTCAAAGTGTTTACTTCTAGATCGTATCTGCAGGCTCTTGCAGGCAATACACCTGGTTCTTTGTCAAGTGGGCTTGATGAACTCTTACGGCACCAATCTTCATTGTGTACGCATGGAGTTGATATGTTTGTTGAGATCCTAAATACCATATTGAAAATTGGATCTGGACTTGAGGCTACAACTTTAGTGTCAATGGATGCTCCTGCTGGTGCTGCTCCTTATCCTGATCCAATGGAAACTGATGTTGGTGAGAAGAGCTTGGTTGCACCAGACGAGGCAGAATCATCTTCTGATGTCTCTTCAGAAAACGATGAGCTGTTTCTCATAGATTGTGTAGGTAATGTCGCACGTCTTTTTGAAACAGTTTTCCAGAGTGCTGAAGTATGTCGTCTGTTTGTTGAGAGGAAAGGCATTGATGCTGTCTTGCAGCTTTTCACTTTGCCTCTAATGCCTATATCAAACTCTCTTGGTCAGAATTTTTCAGTTGCTTTTAAGAACTTCTGCCCTCAGCATTCAGCTGCTCTGGCTCAAACCCTTTGCTCTTACCTAAGAGAACATCTGAAGCATACAAATGGACTCTTGGTTTCTGTTGAAGGGACTCAGCTTTTAGCACTAGAATCTGCGGAACAAACTAAAGTTTTGAGATCTCTTTCTGGTCTTGATGGCATGTTATCCCTATCCAATTTTCTATTGAAGGGAACAGTGTCAGTATTGTCTGAATTGAGTGCAGCTTATGCTGATATATTGAAAGATCTTGGTCACACATACAGGGAAACAATTTGGCAGATGGCTTTGTATAGTGATTCCAAGGCAGACGAAAAGAAGGGTGTTGATCGGGAAGCCGATAATAGTTCAGTTGCAGCTTCATCTAGTGCTGTTGGAGGAGAGATTGATGATGATTCAAGCAATGTTCCGGCAGTTAGATACATGAATCCAGTATCTGTTAGATGCAGTAATTCTCAGTCTATTTCGGGCCCGGATCGTGAACTTCTTTCTGTTATTCGTTCAGGTGGGGGTATTCATGGTCGTACTCGACTTGCAATTGCCCGCCAGACTCGTCGGCCCTTGGAAGCTTTTAGTTTTATCTCCGAGATTCCACCCGATCTACCAAAAGCGTCATCTTCCCAGCCACTAAAAAAGAAGAGCCCCGGTGTTCTCATTATTGAAAGTTTAAACAAGCTCCATTCAACCCTACGTTTTTTCTTTACATCCCTTGTGAAAGGTTTTACTGCTCCTAACCGTCGCAGGATTGATGGAGCATCATTGCGTTCAGCATCTAAGAATCTAGGTACTGCACTAGCTAAGATATTTCTCGAGGCTCTTAACTTCCAAGGCTATTCTGCCATTGCTGGGCATGATGTATCTCTATCAGTAAAATGCCTGTACCTTGGGAAGGTTGTAGATGACATCACTGCTCTGACATTTGATACTCGGCGTAGGACCTGTTTTACAGCAATGGTGAATAGTTTTTATGTTCATGGAACATTTAAGGAGCTTCTTACCACTTTTGAAGCTACAAGTCAGTTGCTATGGACATTGCCGTTCAATATTCCTGCCACTGGTGCTGAGAATGTGAAGCCTGGAGAAGGGAACAGGTTATCTCACAGCGCGTGGCTTGTAGATACACTGCAAAGCTACTGTCAAACGCTTGAGTATTTTGTGAATTCTGCATTTGTGTTATCTCCAACCTCTACTTCTCAGATGCAATTTCTAGTCCAGCCAGCTTCAGTTGGTTTGTCGATCGGCCTTTTTCCTGTCGCAAGGGAACCAGAAGCCTTTGTGCGAAGTCTGCAGTCTCAGGTTCTGGATGTCATTCTACCTATTTGGAACCACCCTATGTTTCCTGATTGTAATCCTATTTTTGTGGCTTTGGTTACTTGCCTCCTTTCACATATATACTCTGGTGTTGTGGACGCGAGGCAAACCCGTAGCGGTGTTTCCAGGAGTACAAACCAAAGAGTCTTACCCCCACAGCCTGATGAGGCTACTGTTGCTACGATAGTTGAAATGGGATTTTCAAGGGAAAGGGCTGAGGAAGCTCTGCGGCGGACTGGAACAAACAGTGTTGAAATGGCTATGGAGTGGTTTTATAGTCATCCTGAGGATCCTGTGCAAGAAGATGAGCTGGCTCAAGCACTTCTTCTTTCTCTTGGCAGCTCATCTGAAACTACAAAGGTTGATGGTGCAGAAAATCCTGTCGATGCTCCACAGGAAGAAGCAGAACCAAAAGAACCCCCTGTAGATGATATTATTGCAGCATCCATTAAGTTGTTACAGAGTGATGATTCTTTGGTGTTTCCGTTAACTGATTTGTTTGTGACACTATGCAGCCGAAACAAAGGGGAAGATAGACCAAAAGTTGTATCGCATCTTATCCAGCAATTGAAGCTTATACCTCTGGACTTCTCCAAGGATACTGGTGCTTTGACTATGGTAGCACATATACTAGCATTGGTTCTTTCAGAAGATGATAACACACGAGAAATTGCTGCAGAGTATGGAATTACAACAGTAGCAATTGATATCTTGACGGAATTCAAGTTTAAAAATGATTCAGCAAATGAGATTCTGGCTCCAAAATGCGGCAGTGCTTTGCTTCTCATCTTGAGCATGATGCTGCAGACTCGACCAAGAGTAGCTTCTGAAACTGTGGAAGGAAGTCCAAATGTGCCCGTGAATGGTTCTTCTGAGCAGCATGATTCTTCGTTGGATTATGCGGAAGCTATTAAGAAAGGGTTGGCTTCAGATGTTGATAGGAGGAGATCAAACCCTGCTTGTGAAATGATCTTTGGAAAATCTACAGGTTACCTGACCATCGAAGAGGGTAAAAAAGCTCTACTAATATCCTGTGACCTTATAAAGCAGTGTGTTCCGGCCATGGTCATGCAGGCTGCTCTTCAGTTATGTGCTCGCTTAACAAAAACACATTCATTGGCTATTCAGTTTCTTGAAAATGGAGGATTGCCTTCTCTTTTTAGTCTTCCGAAAGAGGGTTTTTTCCGTGGGGATGATACT